GACCAGTGGAGTTTAACCGGGTCTGTTGTGAAATAGTAACTCACTGATGACAATGATGAACGGTGGTGCAACTTCGTGGATTGGTTGAAGTTAGATATTAACACCGTTGGATGCCGGCCAGCTCAGTAGTCTAGAGGTTAAGCGCTCGCATGCGAAAGTGATAGGTCCTGGGCTCGAATCTTGCGAGGTGAGATTGTGGATGCACACTGCTGAGGAGCCTCACAGTATGACGAAACGACCGTCCAGTGCTTCCAGGTTTTCAATAGTGATCTAGATTCAATTGAATCATGAATTCAACTGTTAAGTTATAGTCTAGGCAATTGTTAGTCCACATGACATTTTCTATTTATTTCCTTATAAAGCAAAAAGTAACTCATCAGGAGGTGTTACGTTTAGGACAATTAAAATTATTACTAGAACGACTGCTAAAACATAGAGTTTTACAACGAACAGAATGTTTTTCGTTTCCTCTATTTTCCATAGTGCCCTAAGTAAAATTCCATTATAGACATCTTTAAATGTTATATATATAGGACTACTCACAAACGCTTAACTTATAGACCACTGGGTTGGCATTCAACAGTATTAACGTTAACTGCAATCGATGCATGATCTTGCGCAACCATTCGTCCGTTGTCTGAGGTAGATACCTGTCTCTATCCGACATGAATGGAACTCCATTGGTCACGGCGTCTCAATAGAACTCCATAAACTCCATCATGAAACCAATCACTAGTGAGAACATGAATATTATTATAATCGGGGTTCGTCCTGTGGGCTGGATTCGGGTCCCGCATGCGTGATCATAGATACGCAATGCTTAGGAGTCCCATGCTAGAACGAATCGGTTGTCCAGTGCTTCCAGGTATTAAATGGTGGTGCAGTCTAGGTCGACCTATAAATTCAACTATTAAAACCACTTCAATTTCCACAAACCCTCATTTTAATATATCTATATACCACCGTATATAACAAAAAGTAATCGATTATATGGTTAAATCAATATTACTATTACTTTATCTAGGATTTGTAATTTTAATGTGAAATAAATAGAAATATATCCTCAGAAAAATTAAAATGAGTACACTTGAATAATAGCAAAGTGGTGATTTTGTTACAAATGTTATGTTCATGAAGACGTAAACAATCAGCACACAAAGATATTCACTGCAGCTTCGCGTATTGCTTTTTTGTATTTTCTTGTTTATATAAAATAAAAGTACCAGTAACTTAACTGTTGTTAGGATATGACATGAAGCCACTGAGTATTATATCCTTTTTTCATCCCAACTTGAAGTGCTGTGACGTACTACTAAACACTAGATTATCTTTCACTAAACAATGAACGTAACGTCTTACATTTTCAGTCAGTTGCATGAACATTAAAAAATATGTCGGTGAAGGCTCTTACAATGTCACTATTCAAATGTTTGAGAACAGCAAATTTATTCAGGATTATAGACAGAACGATGGTTCTGGTGGTGTGATGTTTTCTGAGTTGATCAGTTTCATTAAGACGTCTTCAACAGAAATCTGTACAATAACATTAGCGAAAAGTTTTATTTAGGCACAACAGTTCAAAGAACAAATAGCCGAATAAGAGTTACCTCAGAAAATCAATAATGATCTTTATAGCACATACTGACATGTATAATCACTTAGATAGTTTTTCCATGAAATACCGATATTTTCCTAACTCAACAATGATGAGGGACAATTTATTTCAGTGTCTAAACTATCACCATCATACAAAATGTTTCAGAAATTCATATATTTGACCTTCATATGATTAATCTTAGAGACATTTTTTTCTTTAGGTTGCGTGATATACTAATGGTAAATGTGTCACTAACATACTGTCATCAATTAACTTAACTTTCATCGAAATTTACATTAAAAACATGTTTCTTATGACGGATATTCGATTATAATAGTTTGTTTATTCGTAATATTATGTATATAATTTATCTGATAGTAGAAATACTTATTAACATCAAATATTGTTATTATTTTCTGTATTTTTTAGTTTTCTTTTTCCGTTTAATGGACGATAAAATATTTTCATGATATATGAGTTCCACTGTGTAATTCAAGTTTCTTTTTTTTTCAGAATTTAAATTTGAAAAAATGAATTACGCATCGCACGCATATTCTGTTTTTTTTGTTGTTGATGATTTAGAGACTATTAAATGAAACAGATTGATGGTTTAATGTATGATTTTAAGCAGAATTAGTTTTATGTTTACAACTATTGAAACTGTCAGTATTTCAGAAAGATTAATAAGATGGATATTGCTAAGTAAATTAAGATCATTCTCTACGTGAACTGATTTTAAAATAACTAATTGTATTTAAATGAAAAAAAAGATGAATTTACGAAGATTTTTGTTCCTATGAAAAACAATTATAAAGTAAACGTTGTAAACGTAATAAATGACTTTTTTTTAATTATTTGATAGTTTTTAATGGTTTCGAATTACAGTTTAGAGAGATACTATAGGAAATAATAAATATGAAGAATAAATTGGACAATAAATAGTATATCAGTTACAGATGTTGTTCTTCATTGAGGGATACCGTATAAATAGAATTCGAATGAACATAGAATACCAATTCTATTTATTGCTTCATGAATCTATTCATTCATTTCTTCAGATTGATTGCGATCTATTTAATATCAAGGTCTATGCATAACGACTGCTAATCAAGTATAATTACCACAAATTTATTATGTTAGATCTACTAAGATATTAGAAAATCAGTGTATTTATTAGTATTACAGAAAGTAAGTAGATAACCATGTGGTGTATTTACATATGCTGACAGATATAAATTAATCATTAATATCGAGTTCCATGGTTTTACATTAATATTATTCCGGGTTTCTCTTCAAAAACGTTTTGCGCATTTTATCTATTGATAAATGTTATGACATTTTAGGGTTTACCAAATAAGCAACTATGTAGGATATTTTCATATTCTTTTCGTTTTGCTTTCGTTAATTAAATTCGGAACTTGTATAAAATTCAAAGACATGATTCGTTGGAGACTTAAAATACTACTACTACTACTACTACTGTCACTACTACTACTGAAACAAACATTAATGTAAATGTTAACTACTTATCTGATAAATTATTTATTCATTTCTGGATGATCCTAGAGACATTTTCTTTTCCACAAGCATTTATCTTAATGAATCTCAAATTTCCTTATTACATTTGAATCAAACTAATAAAATCTTATAGTTGTTTCTCTCTCTCTTTGTGTTTGACGTTGTTTAACATAAAAATTAGACAAATGAAATAGGTAAATGAAAATCCTTTTAATAACATAGATATGAAAAATATACTATTAGGTCAGCCTCATATATGAACATTCAAATGATTTTCCTATCAATCAAATTGTACAGTGTTTAATTTTGGCAATAAATGAACTGAATACAAAATATTACATCAATTTAATTTATGAAAAACCACTGTTCAAATCATATATGTTTATTTATTCAATCTATAATTATGGATGAAAATGTCAGGTTCCTTTAAATTTTACCTGTAAGCTCGTAAATTTTCTAATCCCTCTAAAAACGTTCATACATACAGTTTCATTTAGATACTTTAAATAACGAATTTGTTCGAAAGTTATGCATAAACATATTTTCTCCTGTAGATTCGCTTCGATTTTTCAAGTTTACTGATTAGCAGTCTACCTTTTCTAAGGTTTTCATATCTAAATCCTCTTAATTCCTGATCTGAATTTATCTAACACTGTAAGTCAACTAAAAATTGTTGATCGAACTGGAAATTTGGTGATATTTGTCTCACATCTTAATCTACTCAAAATTAATAAGTAGTCACACTCTAAAATTGTTTATATAGTGTATTGACAAGAAATTAGTGATTAACTGTAGTCAGATATATCATCCATTCAGTACAAAAGAAAGTTATAGATAATTAGTGTACTTCTTTTTATCATTTTTAAACTTGTTTAGTCGCATCTGCAATTGAACTATTAAAACAAGGTAAAACAATAAAAAAATTATAATAATCATATTATTTGCTGGAATACATCTGCAATACATCAGCATTAGGTTAACCTATTATTATCAGGCTTGTTCCTCCGATTGTCTGAGTCAACGAGTATATGAAATATACATATCCCAAGTTCATTCTCGTATTTAGTTTATTTTATTCCGTTATTCGTTAACATGAATTAAGTTGATAACTATATCCGAGGGTAGAAAAGACGTATATTTTGTTAACATTATATAATTGCCGTCAGGCTAACGGGGACCTAAAATACAAATTCTAAAAATATTTCTAACTGTATCTATCACCTATTTAAAAACGTGGTGAAATTATTTATAGGTTACTATCAAAATATATCAGAAAAAGAATGTGAAGTAATGAACTACAAAATTTCTATCTTACCCAACATTAATAATCTTCAACAAAATGCTTGCTACATAATTCAACTATATTAAATTCTCGTTGTGAGTGGATATAAAATGACCGAAACGTATTTACTACCTAGTTCTTGTTTGAATATTAGTGATATTTTTAATAAAATTGTGTCTCCAGAAGTTATCACCATATTAATTTCGCTCTCAACAAGGCCTACATGAACGCTACTTAGTCATTAATTTTCACAGGTTTCTTCGTTTCGATTGCAAATATCAATGAATGCAGAACAAAATTTACTGTATTTAATTCACTGATCCGATAGTAAATTGTCTGTTTCCAATGTATATTCTATTGAGTTTGTTCTAGTTTGCAATATTACATTTATATACACCTGACGATCTTTAGTCTACCAAAGAGATTTTTAGTACTTTGTTGTCTACCTCTAATTCTTAATTTTGTGTGGTCCAGTTATTATATCCTCAAATGTTTTGGGTATTAATACTAACTTGAAATGTCTCAGTTATACTATCCTATCATTAAATTTGTATTTGATGTTCTTTTTAAAACAAAATTGTTCTTTTTTGCTCTCATTTTCAGTGTTGGTTAGATCACAACAAAACGGTTATGAGGCAATATTCCACAAACCGAGATTTTATTTACCGATTTAGTGTTAAATTTTATACTCCTCATCCTAATTTACTCGAAGAAGCTTACACAAGGTTAGTTATAAAAGTATATTGACTGTTAAATAATGTTGAAATGATTTTCATGTCGAAAAAAACCTTTTACTGAGTGTTAATTTAACAAAGAAAGCTTTTTATAATTATGTAATCACTTGAAAAAGTTGACCGTTTGAACCATAGGTTTAAGAAATTTTAAAAAGAATATCATTTTCTCCACCATCTCAAAATCATTTTCGTTCTTTATTATTAACCATTAACTTATGCAAATAGATGTGATAATAACATTCATGATGACGTCTATATTAAGTTTCTTACTAACAGAATCAGGAGTATTAAACAGATTTGTTAAACAAATATAAAATTGTAATTGGCAAGTTTATTGACTGTTCTTCCTAGTCGTGTGAATAATTATAGGTTTTTGGTTAAAGTTTACACAATTGCTCAAACACTCGTTTTTGTCTTATTTACCTTATTGACAACTTTCATTGATTAAAACATTTAAAAATGTGTAAACTATAAATGCATTAGACGGAACTCTAGTAGCTCGCAATATAATAGCAAAGCAAATTTTCCAGTTAATGACTAAACTAAAACCTTTATCCGAGTTTAAATCCATTTCATAACGGCGGAGTGTAAAGGAAAATTATTTATTATGAAGAATAAAGTTCACGTAAAAATATATATAAATTGAATTTGATTCTACAATTTAATTTTTCAATACTCTTTTGTTCCTTCAATGATTTTGTTCGATTGTTTGTTGTTTTCCTCTCAATAATAATTTCAGATACTTGTTTGCATTACAAATAAAACGTGATCTGGTTACCGGTACTTTATTGTGCAGTGAAAACACAACTACTTTACTTGCTTCATACATTGTACAAGGTAAAAATAGCAATAATGATGACCTTAATAATAATAGTGTTGGTATTAAAATATTATTTTGAGTAGACTGGTATCGCCTCACAGTTGTTATTCTTATTTTGCTGTTAAATTCCTCATATCAGTTCACCTTACGTTAGAGTAAGATTTGTGACGTTCATTAAGATTGTCACACTAATTAAATTTAAATCACTTTCGGAAACAATATTTATTGCTACCAATACACTTCTATCACAGCATATTCGCGTTCATATGAGAGTAAAAGTGAATCGTCAAATTAATAAACATTTACACAAACTACGTAACTAAGTTTCAGAATGTTTGGAAGAAAAAAAGATATACACAAAACAACAAAATCACTCCATTCGGACTACATGTCTGTCAAGTTGTGCACTACAAAATATGGGGCGTCCTCGATTTGACCATATCATAATGGTAGGTTACTGAACATCTGAAATGAAGATCCAAATAGCCAATCATAAATGTACTGAGTTACAAAGTCCTCTTGCAGTAACTTAAAAAATAAACCGAAGCTTAATTATACGGACGAAATCAACCAAAAGCATTTCTTTTGTTTGGCTTAGAAATGTTGTGCGCAGACTAACACGTCCTTTACGAAAATTATAGCTTATACTCTTCATTGTTCATGTGCTCTTTACAACACCATAAATTGTTGCTGTATTACTTATACTGCTTGTTAGTAGTGTAACTATTTTCCTAAAATTAACCAATTTGAGTGTTGAAGTAATAATTACTCATTCGCAATGAAAGAGGTTTATTCAGTGATTTTATAATTTTATTGATGCACCTGCGGTTGGTATTTCCACCAAAGGTTGTGAAACATCCGTATAACTAAAGATGGTTTGACATGAATCAGATCATACATGTGTTTATAACAAGATGAATTAAGTTTTACATAACAGTATAGCTTGATATACCGTTGTTTACTTACTATTTAATTTTAAAAAGTATTATAAATTAAAGTGATTTATTGCTTTCTGGAATTATACATCACAAGATAGCTACTGAAGATAAAATTAGCAATCATGGATGTTGTATAATAAAGTTCTTATACCTTGGAAGGTCTTGTATGCAGATGAAACCACTAATATCTTATTAAAAGGTGATAGTTTTTCCAGACGTTTCTTTCAATCCCCCGTTTTGAAAAGTTTATTATGGCATTTACTTTTTCGTTAGATACAAATGAACCACAGATGCAGTTGATTATAACTGGAAGTCTTAGACTTCGTGATTGATTAGTTATACGACTTTTATTTCTTAGGTTGACATTCAAACGAGGATCATATCAATTTATTCTAATTTATGTATTGTGTAATCATTTCGTAAAACTGAAGCTTAACTTATTTGTTTAGTCTTTGATCAATCTTTTCACTAACATACAGGAGAAAATTTGTGTCGATCCAACTTAAGGCCTCGACATGATATGTTATCTGGTCCAACCTTAAGGTTAGTAATGCATGAATTGGAACTGTGACTAATCGTCCTTGAGGTAACGAGATGAAAACTATTCTATAAGATGAATCTAGTAGAACACTACTTGATTCATTCTTAATTCATATTAACGCAGAAAGTTACATGAATAAATAGACAACTAACAGGATCACAACGCATAATATACATTTATGTCCAAAGTAGTCATTAAGATAGAAAAATGAAGTACAAAATGTTACGTTTAAATTGCAATAATTCTGGAATAAACAAGAATGTTGCAATAAATTATGTGTCAGACAAAAGCTTTTTAATTATAAAGTAAAACAGGGTAAAAATAAATGTTATTTTTCTTGCAGAATTTGAATTAGGCAAAACAATGTTCCGAAAAATAGTTTTCGTTATTCGTAATTGTTCATTTATTTCTCTCTTCACATGATTGTCAAACTCTATTAAATTATTCTGTTTATCTTCAACTTCGTCTCTATAATTAGTGCACGTTATTATCATTTATTTGCTTACTTATGTAGCTGAGATTGGGGATTTTATTGAAGAAGAATACAGAACAATATCTTATTTGAAATCCTTAAAATTACTTCACGAACCAAATGATGAACGTTTGCGTCGAGTTAGAGAATTCCACAAATCTCATATGTAAGAACTGATTTACTATTGAATATATAATTCGTGGTATCAATGGTTGATTTTCTAAATGAAATAAAAAAAACTAAGGTTAAGACATGTGAAAAATGTTGAAAATTATTTCAGTTATCAATCTTATCATCGGGAAATATTTTATTGAATTCTAATCAACTCCCAAAGAACTTTTAGATATTTCAGAGTTTGCGTTCTTGAGATTTTGAAACGACTAAACTTTCTATGAGTACATCTGTTGTTATAATAAGCCTAAAAGTTTGTTTTGCGATTAATAGAAGACTTTTGATGAGACTAATATAAACTGAAAGAACATAAAATACATGAGTTCGATTTCATGTGGAACGCGGAATGTTGAGTAGTCCTTAACTATTAGGTTACTTCTGTTGAATATCATAAGGTATTATTTGGAAATTATGAAATGGTCATCACAAGGTAAGCTTTTTCATTAGTTACAACCAACGTATTATGTTTATTAACATCCATCAGTCCGTAAACTAAAATCAAAAATAAATCTAGTCATTAACCATGCTAATATGTTATAAGTCTGAGTCTATGACTTCATACTACTCATTATATAAGTATTCTTGCAGTTATTTGATGGTGATTCGCAACACAGGAAACAATAGTTTCAGTTATCTATACTGGTAAAAATACAAAAGCTGTTAGGAAATAGAATAAAACTAGACAGTAGCAACATAACAATAAATTGATAAAACATTATATATAAACTTATTTTGAAATAGGTTTTCTCGAGAAGTTGGATACAGTATGATGAGAAACTATTATTATTGTCACTATTATTATTCAATAGTAACCTGGTCATCAACGTTACCTTCTCACAGTATATTTGAACTAAATTACTTCCTGCATCATTGCATTATCTATTTGTAAATTCTAATACCACAACGTCGTGTGACATAAATATATTTTTACTCATAACGAAAACTATTAGTGATGTTTAGTACTTGGGAACATTCACTGTAGTAGAATGTTGATTTTGATATTTTTGCCTCTTAACATTGCTTATCATACTACTAGTTTGAATTAGAATTCTTTTAGTCTACTTGATCATTAACTCGACATTATTTGGAAAGATTGCAAAATCGATTTATTCTAGTGAACGTTAAACTCGAACACTTTCAGTTAGTAACCTACATTTATCCTTATTTGTATCTCATTGACTAGTTCATGCAAGTCAGAACAATGAAATGTATTTTGATTTTGTTGAGGAAATAAAGCCTAAACTGAACCTCTGGAAGCCTAGTTAGCCTTAAAAGATCCCAAATACAATAATATAAATAGAGTTGTTTTTTCACCATGTTCATTACTTTAATCGATCTTTTACACTTTTAATCGTTTATAATAGTGGATTAACACCAACAGAAGCAGATTTTGCTTTATTGGATACTGCGAGAAAAATAGAATTCTATGGTGTTCGTTTACATTTTGCACGTGTAAGCTAATTTTATTTATGCACATATATTTTATTTAAAAATGATTTCGTTTCTGTCTGACGTCACATAAAAATTCTGTGAAAGATTACAAAAAAAAGGAATACTGTACTGCTACTCATTAGTTAAATGATATCTTTCCGGCAACAAAATCTGAATGTTACCATATATGAAGTCATGGGTATGTATCATTAATGAGTTCAAAGCGGTGGTTTGGAGCAGTTTCACAACTGGTGTAATATTTTTATCAAATTAAATGAATGCCTTAAAAGTAACTGAAATGTTTAGATTTAAGTGTTATGATATTTCGTTAATGAGGATTTTCAACAGAAAATAATCAAACGAAGGAAACGGAATTCTCTCCTTTTCCGCTAGAGAAGGTTCCTCTCTTTAACTAATTATATTCGCTAAATTATCTTAGAGATTCGTGAATGCAAAAAATGAATCAACTGTTATTAAATATGTAATTTAATTTTCCAATCTATGTACGCGTTCTTTTTCCGTTATATTCATTGCATGATATTAACTAGTCACACTGTAGTGTCTTTAATATTTAGTTTATTTCTATCTGCTTTATATCTCTTTTCTTTAACTCGCCTAAATTGTATATCATTAAATTTCAGGATCATGAAGGCCTAGCCCTCAATCTAGCTGTCACACATCTTGGTTTATTAGTATTTCAAAATTTAATAAAGGTTAATACATTCTCATGGGCAAAAATAAGAAAACTAAGTTTCAAACGTAAACGATTTCTTGTTAAACTACATCCAGAAAATTATGTAAGTTTTAAAATTTGGAACTACAGTCTTTACCAATTATTGTTATATGTATTTAATCATCTAGTCTATTGTTCTGTAACTAGAATTTGACCAAAATAATTGTCATGTGAAACAGAAAAAGTTCAAGAGTGTTAAAAATCAATAACTGGACAGTTCAACCATCATTTATTTCATATATCATCAAAAAAGGTTTACATTTATCATTTACGATTTTATGGAATTGTAAATACTAAGAACACCAATCATGTGGGTCGAGCGTCTCGTTTTATTGCGTTCAGATTTGGATAATATGGAGTTTGTTAGTCTAATCACAGAAAACACATTTGCTGTTTATTATCAGTCATATTACATAGATGTTCAAGAATCGAAGAAAACTTTGACTGTAATCGAATGTATTAAAGGAGATTGTAAAAAACGTAACATGACTAACCTTTAGTGTATAATTAGAATAATGGTGTTTTTTTATTTACAACGGTCTATGGATAAATTCATTCATTTTATTTAGACGAGTGAGTTTACTTCTTTACATGAGGAAAAGGCTAAAGATTATTTTAAAATGATAATTTCCTTGAAATTGTTATCTTGTATATCAATTTTCGCCAAACGTTATTTCGATGTTTCTATATATAACCCCTTATCTAATCTCTTTCTCAGACATCAAAGCAGTCAAATTGAGAAAAAAAATTAAGACATGGACACACATCACAGTAAAGTAAAAGTAATCTAGCATAAATCCATACGTTCCTTAATTTTTTTCCGAATTATTTCATAATATATAATTAATCATTCTAATTTTTTTTTCTACGCTTCACTAGTCAAAGTTTGTTAGCTTTAAAGAATGGATTTTGTTAATCCTTATTGAAATAATCCTCTTGCTATGGAATTTCATAGGAGAATAGTAATTTTTAAAGAAAATCTATTCAACTCATTTTAAGTGGGAAAATTATAAATTGTCCTTTACTGGGGTTGTATTTCAACTCCATTACGAAATGACCTTGACACTGAACTGAAAAGTTGTTAACTATCTGAAAATTTTCTCAAAGTGTGCTTTTATCAATTTAAAAATCTTAAAATTACTTACATAATTTCGTTTATGAGTAAATACATACTGTTTTTAAGCAATAAGCATAGAAAATAAATGAATCAAGTAGTATTCGATTACCAGGCATAAAACGAATATATGAACTTTAACATATAAAGATATATAGCTTGATTCTTCGTTAATGTTTAGCTGAGTGACAGAAGGATAAATAAATAAGACTAAGGGTGAGTTCGAAAAAGTCCCTTATATTTAGTAAAGAGATTTAGGTGTTATTGTATCGTTTCAAATCTAGTTATTAATTAAATTTAGCTGTGAAGGAACAAACGTTTTTTCAGTCTTGTAAGAAGGTATATGTTAATTTAGTCAACCATTGTTCAAGCTTCATACAGTAGTGAGGTTCGATGACAGAGCATAGTATATGTTGTACGTCGATTTCCACTATAATTATAGAAACAGAATCAAATGTAGGAATAACTTATCGAAAACTAGTCAACCAATCGTATCTTCCCTGTCAAAACTATTAAGTTATCTAATAGATAGATAAGAACACACTGAAATTGCATGAATATAATCTAAAACAATAGTTTAACAAATATTTCCTTTATAGCATTGATTATCAGTCAGAGCTCTAGAAAAAATATTTATCAGAGTAGCACACATTAAAGTGAATTGTCTCGAGTCTTGTACACTTTTGAGATTTTCCAATCAATATTAAATTTTCTAGTTAATAACAGCAAATTTTACTTTTGTAAACACTCCAAGCCAGAATACTAGATTTTTAAACAGAATGTATTGTCTTGAATAACGAAAAGTACTTAAATCATATATAGTTATTAAAATTTTCACATATCATCAGATTGAAACTCCCATAATAATTCCATAACATATCATGATTGAATTATTCTAAGACAGTATCATATTTAGATAAAAAACTTATGCTTCGCATTGTTTGTTTTTGGTTAAACATTAAATCCTTAATTAGATTTAATTTACAAAAAACCGTTAATTTTCTTCGCTTCATTATGAATAAAATCTACAAATTATTCAATGGCCAAATCATGTTAATTAAGTCGTTTAGTTGTATTTAAATGATTGATGTTCTTTATTAGTGTTTTTCGTCTTCATTCTTTATTTAAATCTTTTTGATATTATTCTGCATATTGATCAGACCAATTCGTTAATTACTATTAAACTAATTTACATTCATATACGTTAACAATGAAAAATTGATTGGTTACTTAAATTGTTGAATTAGAAGGGCTTAGAAAAGATGATATGAGGGAAAGATACTAAACAGTATGAAATAACGAAATATATAAGGATTTATTCTGCCTTTAATATCCATGACGAAGTTAAGGTATTTGGACACAAAGACTTTGATTTATAACTGACTGATCAGTTTCTTTATTACAAAGGATGATTTTTGTTGTTAAGCACCAGTCAATAAGAAACCTGGATTTAGGGTGTCAGCATCTTACCTTTAGTATCAAAATCGACTGTTGTACTTCATTTATTATTGTAGAATTTATAATCATGTTTATTTGTTCAAAATATTCTAATCTCTCTCTTCCTTTTTTATTACATGAAACGAAATACTCTAACAGGACACAATTGAATTCATATTCGATTCGCGTGACGAGTGCAAACAGTTTTGGAAAAAATCAATTGAGCATCATACATTTTTCCGATGTATTTATCCTGATCGTAAATTACAAAGACGTTCGCGTTTAACATCAAGTGGGTCCTCATTTCGGTAAGTTAACATGTACTAATACCCTTTATATAAAAATATTGATAAGGAAGAGTTTTTTTTACAGAAAAACTTATTTTTTAATTTGCTCTTTACATCTAATATTTTACGATATCATTGTTGGTTTAAAAATTTGGATTCAATCGAGCATTTATTTAGTTTTAAGTAATTCATGTAATTTTGAGAAGTATCTAAGATTTCTTAATAAAGTTATTCGATTAAAGAAATTCTGAAACTCTAAAGTGTTCCGATTGATTCACCTTTGAAACAAAGCCACGTACATAATCCCCTCTTGATATCGAAATCCTTTCTATGCTTTTCAATGATTATGATAGTGTGTATTAATTGATGTATTAATATGTATTTTCTGTCGCTACTCAAGACATGTTGATATTCTGCATTTATTTATTGTTTCCCTATTTTGTAATTTAAACTACTGGGCTAACAGGAGTTTCATGAGTTCTGTTCCATTCTACACATTTGAATGCATAAAGATTGATGATATACATTTTAAGCAACATGAAGCCATCAGGATAACAACATTTGCTTGAATGTTTAAAGTTTAAACCTGTGTGACTAGTGAAGTTATAAACAGCTATGAAAAATTGATCCAGCAATATAAACCAGATAGTAAGGTTTGTAAGTTTAATACCTTAGGATGTGACATTGGTTGATTAAGCCACCGGTAGTTTTCATCACCAGATCATTACAAAGATTATCTATAAGTTAAACAAAATCTTCACAAAAATACGATGAATAATAACTGTAGCTTCACTTGTAAATCAGTCCGACAAGAATTATTTGAGGCCTTTTCATCAAAATAGTCAAGTTGGTTCAGAATTTAAAATTAGCTAACTGTTAATATCAGATGACAATCACAACATATCTCAGATTCCCTGAAACTGTAAATATGAATGAGAGAAACTTGATTCGGACACTTTATGTTATCGAGCTTACGAAGTATTTGAAATTTCTGTGTTCTGTTGCCAGTGACCTTGGTTTAGCACTTCTGAAGACTTTAAAATGCGAATGATTTGATAGTTGGTGTTAAGTAAATAGACAGAATTACCCTCTGATTACATTGATTTTTCTACATGGAAACGACAATTAAAAATCTAGAGTTGTACGATATTTAAACAAATGAAACTTATTATGATATAAAATTGATAGAATTTTTGTTTTTACTCATTCTTTTTCATTATTAATTGTCAACAAAGTCTAGAATAAAGAGATTGTCTGAATTCTACCACAAAAACCTAGTCTTTTAAAAAACGTATCTCAGATGGATGATTTACCATTCATTGACTTTTAATATCACTATATACTTCAATTCTCTTCCAATAGTACCCTGCAAACTATTCCTCACTTTATTGAGGTTATAGTTTTTCTATCCATCCTATCATTCTATCAAATGACAAAGTAGAAAAAATCCTTTATCAATTCCGGTCCATTGAAATATTTTGAAAAGTACTATTTATATAAAAATGCCTGGATAGAGAATATCCCTTAGGTTTATGTAAACAAGCTAATATTGAAAAAAAGGTTTTAAAAAAAATATGTACGGGACATCATCAGTATATTTGTCTCAAAATTTATTATTGTCAGACCATTTCTTTAGCTGACGGAGATCATAAACTCATAATACTATTTCACTTAACTGATTAATAGTAAAAAGATTATTAGATTTTATCAAAACTGTCATTCCTACAAGAATGATCCAATCCGTTGTAAGGGCAAATTAATCTTACTGAAAATGTAACAAGATTACGAAAATTAATTTAAAATATTATTTCAATTATCGTTTATTAATGAAGTAAACATTGAATAATGATAAGATGGATATGGAAGAGAGAAATAAAAGATAATTATCCATTTGACGAATTTGAACAAAATTAATGAGAAACAAGTACATGTCAAAACAATCTAGAAAATTGTAAAATCAAATAGGTAATTATGATTATAGTAAATGACTTGGTTAAAAACAGAATTTTCTTTGATCATTTGTTTTTATTTTACATGAATATAAAATGGGTTTCTTTTGTTATTTTCTAAAATGACATACATTCAAGTGTTTCATAGTTTGTTTTAAAATAGTTGAAATAAAAGACATTTGTCAATTATACTTATAAGCACTATGATTTTTAAATAGCATGTCTCCTTTCTAAAATAAAAATACAATCATATTGTATTTGTATGTCTTCAGTAAATAATTAACTGAAATTTCAATTGATTGATCACTGGGTGGTGATCAGTGTCTTGCTTGTCTAGTCTTTATTAGTGCAGATCGAATGCTATTGATCATGTTGCAATGTGACCACCAATCTAGGTGACTTGACACTGCGGGCACTATGTATTGAGATTTAGATGGTGGTTGGAGGTAGTCAACAGGAAACCCTGTGATCAATCAATTGTAATTACATCCCAGTCCTACAGGAGGTTAGTCACGGCTCGGATAGCTCAGTGGTAACGTCTCTGACTGTGAAGCTGGGTGAAACAACAGGGTTTCCCGTTGACTACCTCCAACCACCATCTAAATCTCAATACATAGTGCCCGCAGTGTCAAGTCACCTAGATTGGTGGCCACATTGCAACATGATCGATAGCATTCGATCTGCACTAATAAAGACTAGACAAGCAAGACATTGATCACCACCCAGTGATCAATCAATTGTAATTACATCCCAATCCTACAGGAGGTTAGTCACGGCTCGGATAGCTCAGTGGTAACGTCTCTGACTGTGAAGCTGGGTGACACGAGATCAAATCCACCAGGGAGCACCAGTTCCTTCAAGATTACAGGTACACCTTGCTGACGAGTGCCAATTAGCACAAAACCAGGGTTTCCTATTGACTACCTCCAACCACCATCTAACTGAAATTTCATAATAAGTGGAAAATGTAATTAGATGGATAATAGAATCTAAAGGTGCTTCAGTTTAGTTGTATGCTTTGTAGAATAGGAGCTTCTTCGCAACAACCTATGATTACAAAACTGAAAACATTCATTAGAGAATTATACAAGGTAGTATGATTCTATAATTTTGTACTAATGTCAGGTTGACCGAATACCAAAATAGAACTAGTAATAAGGTTTAATCAATAAAACACTATGGAAATTCATTCTAAGCAAAACAATGGGTTTTTGGTACTTGTTTACCATTTAGAATTGTTTTTGAATAAAATACTTGTAAATTACTTAACTAAAATTAATTTTGTTAATTCGATCACTTCTTTTGGACAATCGACTACATATTGAAAATAAATATCAAGAGCTGACTAGAAAATTATTATTATGATTAATGTAAACCATTCTTTAGTGTTTCTACCCGGTTTGTGTTATTTTATAATTGGATGAAATAACATACTTCATTTAATGTAATCATTAGTTTACTAATATTGTTGTTAGAGAGTTGAAGAAAGCTCTTTCTTCTTTGTTAACTGTCACATAGAATTTGTGTCACCTCCAGACTACTATAAAGCTTCTTTAATTCACTTTTTAAGATATATGGGACGTACTGAACAGGAATTGCAGGAATACGTGCAACGAAATTGTGAAAAACGACCTCCATTCGAGAGGTATGGTAGGGGATTTTTTTAAATTAAATGAATGAATTATTTATTCATTAATATTATTTCACTACTTTCGTTATTTATAATCTATTTATAACAAATGAAGTATAAGTAACTTTTCAAAACTGATATAAATCTTTGTATTTATGATTTTGTTTAGGTTTACTTAACTACATCCCATTAGGAAAGTATTGTAAAATCTATAAAGTATGTTCAAAAATAAATTAAAAGCTTTTAGTAGTTAGTCTTTATTGAAATCGGCTTTATTTGATTCTTTAGCTCCAACAGAAAACTATTTACTTTAATGGTATCACAATTGCTATGAACTTTAAATATTTTGTATTTCGTTGAATAAGTAATTGTAAAGTAGCACTACTGAAGGATATTACACAACTACAAAAGAGTAAAATAGTGCGACAAACAATTCATCAAAGATTAAAAATATTTTCCCATTTTTTATGTAGTTTCTAATTGTTTGTTGGCTGTAAATATTTCTGAATAACTATTGATCACGATACAAAACACTGGTATATATTAGTGACTTACATAGGTAATAGACCCTATGGTTTATAACAAGTGATTTAAAAAGAAATTTATTGAACAATTGCACAGAATGTCTACTCATGCAGATGTATTATTCTTATCTTCTAGACGAATATTTTTTCTTGTTCCTATAGTGTTTGAAAATTTCGAGCAAATAATTTCCCGCGTAATATAAAAATTACCAATTTTTAAATCAGTAAATAGTTCACCCAATTAACAGTGATCATTAAAAGTTATTCGTTAGTTTATTCATATCACGAACCACATATGAAAACTACTGTATAACGATTTCTTGAAATTTTTTATCAAAATTAAGATGGGAAATATGAACATAAAACAATGAGTTCGATTTTCAGTGTGTGTGTTTCTCCTAAAACCAAATGATAAAAATAGAACTTGTTGTTATAGCTGTTTCCTTAATTATCCCCATACATCATTAGTAATACAATTACCAAAACTGTGCACTTGACAGAAATGAAAATGCAGATAGCAAAGCACTAGTTCAGTGAGTAGTAATTCAAGTAATAAGACCATGTGTCAAGCAGAGGTCCATAAAAATCAGTGAAACTTATCAAGTAAATGTATATTAATTTCCAGATGTGTCATCAAGCTTGTAAGCAATTAATAATTAAGATAGAAGAAATAAATGAAGAAGTTGGCAAACGCATTTGATCAGACATGCTCGTTTATACCAGCAAAAAGGTTAGAAAATATGGGTGAATTATTACGGCCTAAAATAACATTATTTGCTAAATAGGTTAATTCAAAGAATTGACTAATTCGAACATAAATAAGTTTGTGTGAAGGTGAGATTGATGCAAACTGCAATTTTAAGCTTAATTATATTAAAAACTGGATCAAAACATGGATGATCATCATGTTGGAGACACTCTTCTGTATACCAATTATTGTATGTAGCTTAATGACTCTGTGTGTTAGCAACCTAAAGGTAATAAATTCAGAAGTTTAGGCTGTTAATGGTACTTCAGATGAAATTATTACTTATATTTAAATTTGTATTGTTTTTAAGCGTTACATACCTAAAATACTGAGGTATATTTTAAATCATTACTTGGAAAATTAAAAAAAACATTATATTTCCACACATTTTTGTAGACCGTCAGCTGCTAAACATACCAGTTTATCTAAAATAACTGCCCCTGCATATTCTACTAGACGACTGAATTCAGGCTCACTAACATTACGTTCAAGTTCAGCTGACAGACGTAATTTCATGTCAGGTACCATCGGCGGAAGTTTTGCCGGAACATTAGTTGCACAACCTGCACTAAAAAGAGCTCAAAGTATGGGTGTTAATGCAATCAGTCGGGATCAACAAGCTGCTGAAAGATCCTCTACAGACATTCGTTTACCAATCAGCACACTAGCAACTAGCGGTTATGCCACACTATCTGGAAGTGTTAATGATAGTGGTCGAAGTAGTCATCCAAAAAATATTGAAGATTTAGAGCAAAGTGAAGTAAAAATACTACAGTCAAGTTCACAAAATGAATCAGGACGAAGGATGACTGGTGATTGGAGTGGAGAGAATCAACATAAGCAGTCAGATGAAGGCATTTCTAGTCGCGCATGGAAATCTGAAGCAGGATCGCCCGATCAGAGTGAAGTCACATCCCTGTCTAAACTTAATTTAGAAATGGATGCCTTTCTTAGTTCTCGAGATGACCAGATATCTTTATCTGACCAGCGAAACCATGAAGAGTCAAAGGATACAGGGGAAAATTCTGACAACATACAACTGAGTAAGAAATCTACACAGCTCTTCGATATACTTCAGGATGGTTCAATCAGAGGATATCTATTTTCGTCTTCTCCCTCATTTGACCAAGGCAGTGAACAATTACCAGACTTAAGCAGCTTTCAGCCAACTGAACATCAACTAAATGATTACTCTACATCTCGCTCATTCGATCCGAATCATACATCCGTTTCTAGTTCAGATAACCATCCTAGTTGGTCGCTTTCACTAGCTTCAAAAATTCTGTCCAGTCAACCAGAATCAATACACCGTTTTGAATTCTCACAACCACCTCCTAAACCTCATCGTACTTCTCAAATTTTAACTACACGTGAAGAGGATAGTTTGAGATCGACTTCTGAAGTAAGCCATTATGTCAAAGTATTTATTTTCATGTTAATATATGTAAACGATTAAAGTCAAACTGTGAAAAACTAGTTTATTCTTCGTGCTAGTGACATTTTTATGGAGCTGATAAAGTTAGTTAACAAAAGGTAGTCTCTAGTTTTTTTAACACGGTTTTATCACAATACGGTCCACATCTTTTTAATTTCATATATAGATATTTTACTTCACAGGTTTACCCTTGACAACTCACAGTGAAATGCAAATCCTGATTAACCTTTGAAAATAAAACTTTTTAACGAGAATATTTGTAATTTTTGGTCATTATTGTACGAAAGAATTTATAGGGTGATAAAAATACTTGCCTACATTGAACTGTAAAACTATGAAAATAAAGGACAAACCACCGAATTTACAAAAAAGAATTAAAAGGTTAATGTAAGGGAAATCAACTGTAATATAATTTGTTCTCTTAGTCAATTAAAGTTAAAATGTAAAAGTCTTTTATCTATACAATAGGTATTTTATGGAAGTGAGAAAAGGTACCTGTAAAATGTTGTTGTTTTGTGTTTATGTTATCAGTTTTATGGATGTATTAGAAAGGATGTGCAATTATCAGTGAAATTAGATAGGGTTTGAGGTAATGTAGATTAGTAACGAGTAAACAACCAGTACTATTATATAAGATAAATATGGTATGTGTGTAATAATTTAATATGAATTGATATGAATTACACATGTAAAATGTTACACATATTTTAAAACATTTCAGTCGATTAAAGAGTGTCCAGCTGTATAACGAGTGTTTACGTAAGTCATTCACTAGTCAACTAAATTTCTATTCAAACACAAGACTTGAATTTCGTTTACAGATGAAATGTCAGTATTACTAAAACGTATACTATATAACTGGCTATAACATTAAATGATTGCTACTTTAATTACTGATATTAGAAAGTCACTGAATGTTGTTAATTTAACAATGGGTACATTTAGTTACTTCAAATTATGGTCCGATTACACACACTGATGATTATTCAAATCAAACATCTTGACGATTGGAATCTTTTTGTAGATGAATCAATCATGAAACTTAGCACTCGTTCATAAGTCACCTCTTGTAGCTTTATAAATTCTTTACAGTATTCTGTTGAGGGATTTTGATCTACTTCATAATATTTAAATGAATTAAAAATTTCCCTCGACACTCTACAATGGTCACCGTAATCTCAGAATGTCCCGACTTTTAGTTTTATTACATTTCATATTCCACCTATTTTCAAAGATCTATATTCCAGTTTGACTTGCTTTCACTCTGAAAACTAACAAATTACGTCATCGTAAATCAATATGCAAATGATAAATCATTTGATAGTTCCTATAAACATACTAATGTCAAATAAGTTTGTACTGATATTGCATGGATAAAAAATGATGGTTATAGTTTGGTCATTGTAAATGAATAAAAATTCATGAAAATCTTTTGTTCGAAATGTTTCCTGCTTCAACAAATCATTTTTGAGCTTCCTTTTAGATGAATTAGTTGATAAATATTACAATGTCAAAATATTCTTTTTCTGTAACAATGCAACGAAAAATCATTCATACAATTTGAAATATTATATGTGAAAATTATATTTGAAATAATATTAGCGTTTGTCCAGACAAGTTTGCTGGACGAAACGTTGGAATTGTTTTAAATTTCAATCGCTGAGAATATTTCAAATATAATTTTCACATATAATGACATTTCTATACTGGGCGCCCAATTTTTGTCAAACTATTCGTTTTAATATTGACGAATATTCGTATAAACAATTTAAAACATATATGTCAGAAACAGTAGTGGGTTAAAGGAAGTTAAATCTTATTAACTAGTTATAACTGAACCTACTTTATTTTGAATAGAGAATAATGATGAAGTCCAGAATCCTCGTATCGCCATGATCCAGGAACTGTCAGGTAGATGTATTGAATCCTAATATTTGTGTCCATAATAAAGCCTGTAAAAGATAATATCCACTGACATATCTTGAATAACATTTTTACATTTGTATAGAAAATTTTATTATTGCTCACTCATTTGTAAGTTACTCAATTAACAAGAACTACTTATCGAGAGTAAGTGGATGCTCAGAAATCACCATATGTTCAAGATTTAAATGTTTTCAGTTTCATTTTTGGACTACAATATAACTAAGTCAGAAATCTTACTTTTGTCGCTAAAACGTTTCTGCTTGTGTCGATTTCTGTTGAGTTGTTCCTGAGTAATGTTAACTTCTATTATCTTTATATTATTAACTAGGACCCCCTTATTTATAATCAAGTATTCAGTACGCTTGAAATTGGGGGAATAAAAAGATAACAATTTTATCGCTTGTCATAAGATTAGAGCAGACATATTATGTGTTTCAAAATACTAGACATTGTGAACACCAACGTCTCACTAAAAATCAAAATCTTTCCAGAGCTACTTAAAATAAATGAGTTTCAGAATTTAACATTTTAAAGTACTATTCTCTGTTCATTAACGACTCACTTAAATTTGGATGAATTTTTCTTTTGTTATTCAGTTAATAAACTTTAATTTAATTCAATGAGATAAATTAGCTTATTTTCTCTCTTCTACAATAACCTATATAGTTTGAAAGAAATACAATTATGGAGCCATCATTAGGTGAAATAATTCAACTTCATATGGATAGATCTAATCTTATAAATCCGATTACATCAAATGGTAGGTAGTTTTGTTCATTTTTCGTTTTGTTACTATATTTCGTCAAAATATTTTTCTTTATTCTACCATTCGTTTATAATTTGAAAAGCATAAATTGTTTTGGTCTTTTTATTTACTTGTCTTTTGTATTCTCTTAATATTCAGGTGTTTGTTCTTTTCTTTAGCACCAAATGAATAATCTGAACACTGTGCAGTAGTGGTAGCGTAGTTTAAAAAATTTTTAAAGGGCATACCATCAACTAGTTCAGATATTTATTCTTCAAAGCAGACCAGTTGGTAAAAATTTATCATATGGAGGATATAACTTTTTATTAACGTCACTAGATCCCATATTGGTTTTCATAATAAGTTTTATATTATGAAATATTATGATAGTCTAAAAGGAAATTAAAGCTACAGTATAATACAAGAAAGTTTACATTAGCTGATGGAACAAACACATTATCATGATGTTAAATTATCTCATATGTTGTTTAGTAAACAAGTTTTTGCCTAGTGATAAAACAAAGTATACACTTCTTTTTACAGTATGAATTTATAACAAAATTGAAATCACATTATTTGATAAATTCTTTCAAGTTAATGTTTGCATAAGTATTTTGTATAGTCTAAACTCAAATTTTTGTCAGATAAAAGTAATACCATTCAAAAGAAATGAATAATTCATTTGTAACAACCCGATGAATGGGAAATTGAGTTTCTGAGTAAATGAAATTACTTTTAAAAAGTAGCTTATACAAAGTTGTGAGATATTATAAACCTAATAATATACTCATGTTGATATTAAAAAATATCTCATTAATTTTACTAATAATAGTCTAACCAAAACTCAATTTATTTGATATAATCTAATTAAACTTTGGTAATAATATCTGCAAAGTGTAATGTCATTTTCAGAGAAAATGAAAAGCATCGATCACTGAGAAAGCATTTATATTCATTTCTTGACTTTCTAATGTACTTGGAACCTTTAGGCTTTTAATTTGTATCAGTTGTGATACTGTGTAATTTTCATTCGACTTCACTCTGCACTATGAAACTTTCCAGTAATTCATGTTTTCTAACAATTCACCAACGGATATTAATTAACACGATCTTTGGATAAAGCTTCCATTTCTACTGAAAGCCTGAATCGGTTTTATGAGCTCTTTTATTAACTCTAGGTTAAACGTTAACAGTAACTTGATGACGAGAGAAAAAGTGAAAAGCGTGAAGTGGGTGCTTTACTCCAACGTTAGTTTGGGAACAAACGTTCGCAGTTATTTATAGTATTTCAGATGACCTTAGGTGTTTGGATGTCTCTGGAACCATACTAAATATGGTAGCAGCATTCGTAAATATCCAACTTGAAACGTGATACGTGACTCGTTACTTCCTAAATGTTTCTTAAAAGCTTCTATTCAACGCTGGTTTGTGATGTTTCCCAGAGTTTTCAGGGCACCTCTGAACTTTTCCGTGGAATAGTTTGGACCTATGCAATACCTTTCTTCTAAAAAATAAGACTTCTTAAGATGTAATTATTATTCACACAATTGAAGAAACGATTCCCCTATGTCCCTTCTATTCCAATTGATTAGACTGTTGGATGACGAACATAAGTTACTAAAACATATATATATATATATTGTATATGCTTAGTTATTGTTTATATTTCTCTTGAAAATAGGCGCCGACAAAAAATTAAACTGTTAAGGGGAAATAATTATTTATTGTATTCTGAGAAATCTTTTTCTCTACAATGGTTAAAAATTTCTTTCATGAAATTCTGATTATGAACTGTAAATACTTTATTATTAGTGCTGTCTAAATAGTTATGTCTATAATTATATATTTCGGTCATGTATAAAGCAAGTTATCTGTATCTATCGAAGAAAATCTATTTTTCTGACAGATAGACCCGTTTAGTGAACTGTCAAACAGAAATAATATCAAATATTAATTAAAGCAATTATTAAACAGCAGCCAACTGTTTACAAATAGTTCGTATATTTTATATTATAAATAACTGATAGAATCACATGCATTAATGTAGAACATTTTTGCTTTGCATCAACAATGAGCAAATTGCAAGGTGACTTTACAAGTTTTCTGAAAATTAGCTTTAGATATTGTTTATGTAGACGAAAATGCCTTAAACAATTTAGTCTTTGGTGTTCTAAAAATTGCAGGTAAACTGTTTATAATGTCGGTGTACATGAACATCCTGAGACCGTTATTTTACTTTGTACTAACTAATATTATTATTATTATTAATACATTAGTATTTCATGAGGTCTTACTGTTTCTTGATCTGTCAATTAATTTTTTTCTATGAAAAGACTTAGGACATTTGTTTATAAATAAATCAGTTATTTACCATACATCGTACGAACCTTTGTTGTGGTTCGCGTTAGTAGTAGAAATTTATTCTTCAATGAATGTAGGAGAACGTTTGATCTCATTAACTTGACTTCAAGATTCATGTGGTTGAGTATTTTTGTTTAAATTAAAAGGTTCCAAATGAATTAAATTTAGCATTCGGATATCCAGTCAGTAATTTAAAAGGCGTAGAGCGGTTACTTACTTACTTACGCCTGTTACTCCACCATGTTCATCAATGATACTACCCAGATATGTAACGGTTTTTACATCTTCCAAATCTTCTCTGTCAATTGTGATTGGATTGGTGCATGTTGTGTTGTATCGGAGAACCTTGCTCTTCTCTTTGTGTATATTGAGACCTATTGCTGCTGAGGCTGCTGCTACACTGTTCGTCTTCTCCTGCATTTGTTGTTGCGTTTGGGATAGAAGGGCCAGATCATCTGCGAAGTCCAGATCGTCCAACTGCATCCTAGATGTCGATTGTATCCCGTGCTTCCCTTCAGATGTTGACGTCTTCATGATCCAGTCGATCACCAGGAGAAAGAGAAAGGGTGAGAGTAAGAAACCTTGCCTAACACCGGTCTTCACTTCGAACGACTTTGTTAACTGTCCTCCATGCACGATTTTGCAGTGTAATCCATCATATGAACTCTGTATGATATTGACTATCTTCTGAGGCACGCCGTAGTGTCAAAGACGTTTCCATAGTGTTGTTCTGTCCACGCTATCAAATGCTTTTTCGTAGTCAATGAAGTTGATGTAGAGTGATGAATTCCATTCAATTGATTGTTCCACAATGATCCGTAGAGTTGCGATTTGGTCTGTACACGATCTATCCTTACGGAATCCTGCCTGATGGTCACGAAGTTGGGCGTCTATACAGTCCTTCATCCTGTTTAACAATACTCTGTAGAAGACTTTTCCCGGTATTGAAAGAAGAGCGATGCCCCTGTAGTTATCACACTTGCTGAGATCGCCTTTCTTCGGTATTTTGATCAGGAGTCCTTCTTTCCAGTCTTTTGGTATTTGTTCCTCATCCCAGAGAGAGAGAGCTAGAGAATTTAATTTACTAACGGAAATCAGTCGTACGGAAAGTCATTTACAGTTTTGAATTCTTAAGCCAATTTATACACTATGCAAAATAGTGTTCATTATATTAAAGTTCATCGATTCTGCAGAATTCCTGTCCTAAGATATTTAAGCTGTCAAAATTCTTTAGTCTTCACAAATCACCTATTCTACAAGTTAAGATAATTCTTCAGATAGATCAAACAACATTTATTATCTATTATTTCTTAGTTAAGAGGTGACGCTGTAAATAAGAAAGTACAGTGGAATAGTTTTCACAACGAATGACATAAATTGGGGACTCATAAAAAACAATAGATCTCCTGCTGACTGAATCATTCACGCTTCAGGCACAAAAGTAATTAAAACTACAGACTCCATTTTCAACAGAACGCAGAACTGTTTTTAACTAATCAAAATCTTATCAACAAACGTTTCAGTCAGTCATTTTACAATATGATGAAAGCACAGCGAATGTCATTCAGTGTCTATACAACATACATGTGGTTGAAATGACTTCAAGGATCAATAAGTAGGACAGAATTAATACTAAATTAACTGTGATTTATCATTTTACCGAAGGAGGATGGTTGCTGTTGCCTTTCAATTTCTTTAAAACACATAAAACACACACATGCTTTGTATAATTTTATTAAGTCAATCTATTATAGACCATATAACGATATAGTATTATTTAGAATTAAAAGACATTACTGTAGGATAGTAATAAAAACTGCTGCCTTGTTACAATTTTGGTAGGATATAACATCTATCTCATGAAGATCTATTTATTAAGTATTAACTTAATAAACACTTTTTAATCTTCTGTCTATAATCCGATAAGTTATCCGTTTACTATATTTAAAACAAAACATTTTGAATGGACAATTTGTTTTCCAAGAATTTAAAACTACGCCATAGAATTATAAATTTATTAATTATATATTGCATTACACTGATGCTAATAAATATAAAAGTACATTATTCTAATAGATAAAACAGTTTAATATAATAACAATTATTTATAATATGCACTAGATCGTCCATAGTAATGTAATAATGATGGATTTTAATTATGAAGCTTGAAGATAGAGTATATAAAGAAATAACTTTTCGATTAAACTTTCTTCATTATCGTAGGTAATTATCAAACTTGAATTAAAGAATATATATATATATATATATATATATATATATATATATATATATATATATATATATATAATTTGTATACATACATATTATAATTGTAATAAATATCTGGTAACTAGGACTGATGTGTAAAGATAGTTACATATACCAGTATAGCTAGCCACTTTCGAATATATCATATTAAATTATTATTTTCTCATTATGTCAGACTGATTCATTTACTTAATTATTAGTTAAAATTATCAAATAAATATATCTAATTAACATTCTTTTTGTTAAGCTTGGATAGATTTTATTAAGATCTAGGGATTAATTAATGTAAATAAGGCTAATATGGATGTGAAGACAACCATAACAGTAAAAGAAATTTAGATAATATTTTTTAAACTATGAAAGATTATTCTTTTGATATTGTTTTATTTGAATTTTCACATTGATGTTTTAGGACTGAAGTTGATAAGTCTCTTATTGGCATATGTGCATACTGTGCCAGAGACTGATCAACTTCAGTCCTAAACCATCAATGGGAAGATTCAAATAAAACAATATCAAGTGAATTAAACTTCACCCCATTGCACAAGCAAGTGGCTATCAGGACTCAGTAGCTAAGTGGATAACGCGACGGCGTTTGAAGCGAACGGTACTGAGTTCGAGTCTCAGAGTGAACATCAACTCTGAGATGCTGGTACATCCAGCTGACGAGTCCCAAAACAGGACGAAACGCGCGTCCACCATTCCACTGCTAGCCACTATCCATCTCTGCTTATGAAAGATTATGTTTATTTATATATTGAATAATTTATTTTTTCAAAATAAATTTCTCTTTCCCTAGAAATTTTTTATTCTAATGGTATTAGAAACCTTTTTAATATGACAATAAATAAGCTTTTATCATAGAATAACATTCTTTGTTTATTTTTAATCCTTTTCAATAGAATTTATTAGAAAGAGACTTTGAAAATCATTGAATTGAAGAAAATGTTTTCTTAAAAAAATAATAATTGATTTCTGTTAAGCACTTTATTAGTGATATAATAATATTTTTTATTATCTACGTTTAGTTTAAAAAGAAATTTTTTAACGTTAAAAGTCTATGAATTATACGGAATCGTTTTTTTCAACTTTCTCCTCTGACTTGATATTATAGAAGAATAAAAATGATCAGTCATTTTGTTTCTTACAATCATGGCATTAATAAACAATCAAGATGTATCATTCAGCTTTGATATATTCCATTCTAGTTCTAATGTATACTGCGTATTAGGGGATGTAGGAAGAGCTGGACGCACAAGAGAATTTAGAAGATAGAAGAACAAGAGAAAAACTGATCCTGTAACTCAGCAAGTTTATACGATGTACTTACATTTAGTAATAAAAGCAATCGACAACATTTAGTGGTAACACAGGGATGAGTTTAAGACAGTTTGACAACCAAAACTTGAAGTTAATCGGTTGAGATTTTGAACTCATTAATAGACAAAAATTTAATTTGCTAATCAAATCGTGTAAAGCAGCCTAGTATAACAACTTCAAACTTTTTTAATTTTTTATCTATCATCATTTATCATCTCTCTCTGAATTATATGTTTTCATCCTAGAAAATATTGACATTATTTTCCTATGAATATAAATTTTGGAAACAGAAATGACAAATAAACAAATCGACTTGTCTATGAATAGACTTGAAATAATTTTGCAAATATTTCTTATTGTCTTTACTCATCACATATGATTATATAATACTGTCGGATAATTTGTGCTTTGTTGCATTACTGTAAGCGTAGCCTGTCAATTAGTTGGTTTATTAGATCAATCTAATCTGGAACTTCCAAACTCATCTAGCGACCAGACTAGATATGTCTGTAAGATGAAGACTCATGAAACATTTAAAATAATCCATGCTTGTAGGTCAGTAATATGAGTAGTAACTCTTGAAATGTCATCATCGATGGTACTAGATTATCAGTGGATTAAATCGCGAAAAGATTTATTTTAGAAGTCTGAACGATTTTGTTTCGCCCGACTAGTGGTTCAAACACTTATTATAAGATCTGAAGGCACAGTGCTCGACTACTGATAGTATCTTAGTTATATGTTAACTAAAAGTTTCATTCTAAGAATAAACATTTATCTAAAGCTGCTCAATTCTTCCACATTTTAAGTTTTTTTTGGGAGTTATTTTGTATAGATGTTTCTGTAACTAAATAGACAAATTTGTAGTCTAGTTTTTAATCAAAATATAATGTTCCTGTTATAACTTTTTCGAAAGTTCAGATATATATTCAGGTTGACCAACATTGAATAATTAAGGTAATATTAAATTTATTTAATGAAAGATTATTGTTTTCTGTATACAATACACATTTTTACTTCTTTTTTCAACTATATTTAAAAGCAACACAACTCCTTGAAACATACAGTACAGTACAAAATATTAGTACTGATGATAATAAAGACGACAACACCTATGGATCAAGCAATACAGTCACGAATCTATCTAGCTCGCAACCATATGAGGCTACATTAATTTTACCTACTGTTACCCAGCTTGGTTTAGAGATTAGTTTGGATAAAGAATTATCATTTCTGCACACCAATCCAATCTTATCCACTGAAACAAATAAAGTAACTGATTCTAAAACATCAGTTACTGACAACGTACCAACAATCGAAACAACATCGTTTACACATGAAAATAATACTGCAACAACAATGACTCTATCTATGTTGCCTAATTTATCAATAAGATCACAAACTATTTCTTCATCTATAACCATACCACCATTCACTACATCTTTTTCTCTGATGACTTCATCACTTTCAACAACAACGACAACAGCACCAGTGGCATATCCAGAAAGTATTACAACAACCAAGGGATCACAAAGTCTGTTAGTTAATGATCAGTTATTATCTCCCGATCACTCAATACTGTACGATTTTCTACCACAGGAAGATACATTTTCAATTACTTTAAATGATATTTCAATGTTGAGGTCATCTGAAGCAACTGATAGAGCATCAGTAGACAAACAATTACCCAAATCAGAAGTAGAATCAAACAGAGTGCAACTTACCGATTTTCTACAAACATTTGGATTAACAAGTAGTTCAAATGAACCTATAGATCTAGTTAAATCTCTAGCAAAATCTAATGAAAATGAAACTTATGGATGCTTGTTTCTGGACGATGTAAGTAAAGTATATTATCATTTCTTCATTGTAATTACTTCCGTACATCGTGTGAGTTACTTCTCTTATAAAGATAGGTTCCTTTGTCTAAAAAATACTAAACTTGGAACACTATCTTGATTAATGATGGTTTCTTGCTTGATGTCAAAGTATTTTCTAAGTGTAACTATAGGTTTATTAAAATTAATAAATGTTATTCTCCTGACGTATAGAAAAATAAAATTCCTGACGTTCAGTGACTTAGCTTAAGCTATTTATTCAAAAGACAAAACAACATCCATGAATCGATCCAAGTTGAAATCGTAAAAGAAATAAATCAGATTGAAGATTTATTGCGCAACGATAAATTTTACTATGCTACCTGCATATCAATTTAGTTCGTAGATAAGATTTTATGTGTTCATACGTATTTAGTTTATTTAAATAAGTATGAAAATTACATTTTGACCAAGTGTCTAAAAATAACGAAGAACATCTTGACTGTTATTATAATATGTTGAATTTTGTCATGACTTTTAAGTAAAACTATTCACGAAAGAGGTGTAATCGCTCGTAGGTGATTAATACATTCAATACATTACATTCATCATGAATAAAACGAGGGTTTATCATGTATTTTAACAATATAAGTTACTGATATACAGTGTATTGTTTATTTTTCTTAAATTTTTTACCTTTTTTTATTTTTAATAATAATTCAGTGTGTACAATTCATATAACAATAAAGTCCTATTTCCTTCCTGTTTCACCTACACTTATATTCTTCACGTAGTCAATTTATTATTTATTCTAATAAGAATACCTGTTAGTTTTTCGTGATTTATCTTCATAATACTGAGCTATTTTATTGTTTCCATCGATTTACCACACTTTTATCCAATAATATGTGGATAATGTTTACCCAGCTAAAAATTGTCAGTAATCAATGCATCTGTTCGGTAAACTACAGTTACTATTATAAAAATATGTCGATGTTACTTAAAAAATTCAAGCTTATGTCTATGAAGAGGCGGCTATAAGGAAATTGATTACATGTAAGAAGTCATTAAATGTTAATTCATTTCAAACATTGAAAGAGAATTCCATTTCTTTTATAAAAACAATATTTTAAGAGAATTCTCCACGCTTCTGATTATGAAAATAAAAGATATATCACTCATATGAATATATGTAAAAAGTATTTGAGACATTTTTGAAACGTGATCAGTCGACTTCTTCCAGCTCCGTATTGGAACATCAGAAAAATGTAGTAGTAGAAAGAAGACTGACATTTTTCCAAATCGGTCTCCTTTTCTATTTTTGTACAAAAGATTTTATTTGTGCATTTTAAATAGTGCTGTTCAATACCCAAATGCATATTTATTGCGTATAGTTATGTGTTTTGGATGGATCCAAGTAACACATTTGGCTTATACAATCTCGCACACCAATATTAATTTATTATTGTCAAATTACCAACCTCACCATCACTTTAACGAGCCAGTCTCATATAGTTGATGCCTATTTAGATTGATTACTCACTTTTGTGAATTACTAAATATACTATGAAATTGACTTATTTCGTTATCCTTTTTGTGATATAAGCTCTCCCAAAAAGTCCTTTCTCTTCTCATTTGGATATCAATGTTACAGTGGTAGTGTCTTTTTATATAAGACATTTGAATCCATCTAATCACATCTTAACTTCCAATTACAGTTACCTTTTAAACTGAAGCATTTATATGATCATAATATGTTGACTAAGGCAATAATTTTGATCTAAAAAACTACTTAATTAAATTACTCCTCATATTTACAGTTAATTGGATTAAAATTGACTAGATTTGTTTGCTATCTCGAATCCTCTTTTCATTGTATTCAATCATACCAGTTTAAAACAATATTTTCAGAAGGGATTTGTGGAGATTTTAGAAATTTTATAGATTGAAATCATGAGTCAATTGAAGCTAGACCACCATGGAAAATCTGGAAGCACTAGACGGCCGTTTCGTCCTAGTATGGGGCTCCTCAGCAGTGCGCATCCACTATCCCGCGCCCGGCGAGATTCGAACCCAGGACCTATCGGTTTCGCTCCAACTAGACTACTGAGCCAGCATCCAATGGTGTTCATGTCTAACTTCAACCAATCCATCAAGTTGCGCCACCGTATACCATTGTCTTCAGTGAGCTGATATCTAAAACAATATTTCTTTATTTATCGATCTTTAGATTTTCATGTCCTGATCTTGAATTTATTTCTAAATGATTCAACATATTGATTTATATATTTTATTGATTATCATATAAATTATCTTTCACATTTATCCATCTTAATTTAATCATTTGTTATTCTGTAGATCGAAGACTCTTTATTTTTACTAATAAAATCTCTACTTTATATAAATATTACTTAAATATTATCGGTGTTTTATTTTAACAAGTAAATTTTAAATTAGTTTTCAATGAAGACCTTTTATATTCCTTTGAATTTCATGAAAGTTGAACTTTTCAAAGAACACCATGTTAACATTTTGAGTTGGATGTATGGTATATTCTACTTGTCAACTATGTATCAATTTCCTGACCTTAATATTATATACTTTATTGTAACTTCTTAGTCATTTATGTAAAAGTAAAAAAAAACGTTTTCATTATTGAAAAATTCTCATCATATTAAAAACATAGATATATAAACAAAGAACAACATTGAATAGAGGAAAAATACGATGAATGCCTTTTTATATTTCCGGTGGTCATTCCGAGATTTAAAGAAAAATTACCTTGATTAGCTACCTATTTCTATATTCTTTTAATTCAGCTACTCCTGTAAACTATGTTATATTTCTAGATGACGTCATGTACAACTTGAAAGGGAATAGGGGAGAATCGATAGTCATTTGAGACTTATTGGTAGGACGCACTTAAGACTTATACGGATCAAGTTACCTGTAAATTAAATTAATTCAAGTGTGAAAATGACTTAAAAACATCATATTCTCATGGTGGGATACTAAAACTGGTTGGTTGTGAAAGTTTTGCTAAAGATATGCTATTCACAAAATATTCGTTCACTTATAGGTTTAACTTTATCATAGTAACAATACCTGATTCCATTGAAACGTTTTTTAGCGAATATCATTGTTCTTATAAAAAGAACGCAATCGTCGTGAAATAAGTAGTCAACCAAAGATTCAACATTGTATTCAGTTGTATACATTGTAAGATGTTGTATCATAAAAGTTGCTTTAGTAGTGATCAATTACAATTAGTCATCTGGAACAATATACTCACACTATTAAACATTTTAAATGAAAATCCAAACAGAAAGTGTAAACTAGGAAGGAAAAAGACATCATATAGTTGTTTCTGGTACTCAGTTACCATCAACTTTTTAACGGAAATTACTTTCTTTCTCCAACATCCTAGTAATTGGGGTAAACAGCGATTATCTTGAAGTGATGACAGAAGCTAAAATATTTATATACATTATTTTAACTACCACCTTCAAATATATTCAATTACTGTTTCCCGTCAGTCTCTAACGATCTTAACGACGTTGAACTATGTACAACTATAAGTATGGAGATTGAAAACAAAACGTTTAAACACATTTTTATTCTTCTAGTTTAAAATATCTGGATTCGAGGTTAACGACAAAAAGTTAGTCGGTTGTGAGTCTTATATATGATTGATTTACTTCGTGAAACGTCACATACATTTTCTATGGGACACCTACACGGATCAATATTAAACGCTAGTAATTGTAATAAATCCAATCCCTTTTCTGATTGGCCTATTCAATTTACTAGATTGTATAACGTAGCCATTGGATTTTTATCTTTTCATTATTTTTACTGGTTGAAATATTTCAAGGTCGAGGACAAATCAGCTAAAAGTATGATCGAAATTGGTTTCTTCATTCTACAATCTAATTGGTAAAATATCCTCACTTTAATGCATGCAGGGGTTATAATAGTCTAATGTGTATCTACCGTTCTATTTGTCTTAATAATTAACTGACCCTTTTTAACAATGTACAGCTCTTCATTTTTTAAAGATCCAAAATTTAAGAATTACGATGTTCTAATTTTGATCCAAGGAATACATATTACTTTGTAAGTTAGCTTGTCTTTTCAAACAAATATTTTAAATGATTATAGTGATTTACAATTGTAAAATTTCAGATAAGTGCAATTAATTCACATATATAAATCAGGATTTACTAGAACAAATAAGCATTTTATTCTAATTTTAGCTGGGTTCAAAATCTCAAAAGCTTTTTGGTACCAGTACGACTCAAACAGATGTATGTACCATATCGACAGCTTCTACAACTACTTCCACATCTACAGCTAAAGCGAAATCACACGTAACTACCACATTATCCGAAATATCCAAGACACATGATTCTTTGTTCTCTCATTTCAATGCAAATGTATCACGTTTTAGTGTTGGTGCAGAACCAATTCATATTGCATCATTGGATCAATGGAGCTCAAGTAGTTCAGAAAGCACAACAGGAGTTATAATACGCTCAGATTTAGTTCCGAATACATCTGCCACATGTCATCATTCTGTTCCGTGTATTAATTCTATTAATCCTATGTTACAGCATTCATCAACCTGCCCAAATGCTTCAAAATCTATACCTTTGGGAAACGTTACCAGTTATCTGCATCCATCCGAAGGTGATGTTAGATCCTCTAATTACAGAACTGAACATAAACAAGTGAATAGTGTTAAAGGCACAACATCACATAACAATGTACCAACTAAGTCTAAACACTATAAGCATTTGCAAAGTCACGAACATATATGTTCCCATGGTCATCACTTATCTAACTCTATTCCTTCTGGTATTCATCTTACTGAATTAGAGGAATCAATTCTTTCAACATCACAGCATGTTCATAACATGATTCCTACGGAAAATGTGAAACGAATTCATGGAAAACACAGCGACAGTAAAAAATCTGAACAAGCGAGAAGAAATAAACATTTACATCATTTGCATGAACAGATGAATCAAGAATCAAGTGGAAATCACAATTTGGTGTCATTAAATGATTTGGAAAATGCAGCTGAGATACTTGAAGAGGTTCCTTACGTGGTACTTAGACGTCCTCGTTCAGTTGACGTTAAACAGTATCAACTTCACTTAGAGCACCAAAGACAACAAGCGGCTGCCTTAGCTGCTGCTGCTGGGGGCTATCCATTTCATCTTTATCAAACACCAGGTGCTCATTACCCTTTCACTTCACGACTACCAATTGGTTCTCAGTTGTCATATGGACATTACGTTCAGCCACAACCTTTTCATGGGTTCAGAAATCTGGAATGTAATCAAAATCATCATTTAGATACACCGATTACATTTGGATCGCATCGTAAATCTGAACAGTCAGGTAAACAAACATCTCATAAATGTTCATCAAGTCAATCGAAGCAGGTATCAAAACGGGATAGTGACTCATGTAAACGACATTCTAAGAGAACACATTCAAGAAGGTTAGTTTTGAAACTTTCTTCACTATTTAATAAAATTTGGAAGTAGTTTTTACATAAAATTATCAGAGGGGTCGGCTTTTACATACGCAAAGAGATTTCAGTTTACGCATAGCTCTCTTATCATTAACCACTACTTATGATAATCTTAGTCTTCACTTCGTGGGCGTGTATTGCCTAATAAGCAAAAAAAATAATTATTAAACTCTACTCCGATTATTGGATATTGTTTACTAACAATATCCGGTATTTCCTTTTATGTTCATTATCTTAATTCTTTTTATAAACTTTCTCTAAAAATAGTTCAATTAAGTAAAATAGGAAACATTTGTAGGTTCAGAGCTATGCTTATTGAGAGTATATGTTAAGCTGTTGAAATTTCATTTTTACAAAGGACTAATGAATATTTATTGGGGGGAAGGAATCTAAATTAACTGATACGTGAGTCTGATAGATCACAGATATTATAATAGTCAATTACAATGCATCCCTAATTTTCTGTTTACCAATTTATGGGCGATACAATTACACGTTTTTATACTACTACTGGTATATATCAATGAGTGAAACCAATATCTAAACTTGATGCCTTAAGCAGACGAATGTATTGGCCTAACGTTCAACAGGATTTAGTCATCGTAAAGCTGACTCGCGAAATGAATCCTTTCACGATTTTATTTCCAGGTAAACACACAACAAGCATGTTCATTCTCATTTTGATTTCACCAAGTAGAAGTTTTCAGGTCAATTAAAAGTAAGCGCTCATGTTTTTCAGACAGACGAAGAAAGCTTCGAAATTTAGCTATCCAACTTAAAGAACTCTATATTACTGAAGATTGTCAAATTTTTTACTTTTGTATCATATTCAAAAGGAGTCAAAGTTTAAAAAATCTTGCTTGAGACCCTATGTTCAATTTGGATCAAACAACAGAATGTGAATAATAATAATAAGTAGGTTAATATTTGATCCAACTTTTAACAGACAAAAACAATTTTTTCCACCATACTGATTCCTGTTTTGTCCTGTTTATCTCACAAACGGTTTTTTACCAATTTTATCTTTTTGTACATCAAATGAATTATCCACACGTAGCAAAACTTGCTTAAAAAGGATTCTCGAAAATAAGTGTATTTAACAGAAATTATGAAAACTGATAAAAACATATAACACTTTTACTTGGCGATCATAATGTTAATTAATTGGCTTATCGATTTATGTAGTTTAGTTTTTTCCAATACTTACTCATTAAGCTTATTTCATAATCTATCGGAAGTGCTATTGATTTAGGATTTCAAGATTGATTATTCTTATGCTTAAGTACAGTTTTTGTGAAACTAGTGATTGTCTCAAAAATAGTTTAAAATTACTGACTGATGGCAACTGAAGAAGTATTAACAATCGGAGAGTACTAAACAACTCTTCTATCATAGTTTGAAATTCTTCAGGTCTACACAACCTTGACTGAACGTGGGAACAGTCCTAGAAACTTTAAATACTCTAAATGCCGTAAATTATTTATTAGTGAACTATCAGAATGAAAACAAAGCCCCGACTATTTGCTACACATAACGTTTTTCGTGTTAATTTCATTCTACCCTTATATATATATATATAGGGAGAGGGAGATTGCAATCCAAAAAATTGAGTACTTACTACCAAACACTGAAAACAGACAGGTTTGTTTTGTCCTCACCTAGGTATAACAGAGGCAATAGTTATCACAATTTTCCGACTAAATTTATCCCAGTCACATCAGACAAGTGTAAATATTATCTTTGAGTTTATTTTCATTATTGTTGTAGCTATTTTCAGTTTGAACTTTATTGCACCTTGTTAACCTAGTTTATTAATGATTTATTCAGTTATCACAAAAACACAAATCCCTAGCAAGTTCTTGATTGGACTTTTTAATGATTATCATTTACATTATCATCCTCTAACCCATAAGCTTGTACCCAACTTCTGCAAGATATTGTTGTTTGTAACTGTATGCCCTGATGTAAGGTTATATAAATTCTCATATGTTCATAGTCGAAATATTTGAATTATTTTAGAACTATATTCGATTAAATTCAGCCTAAAAATTCATGTCTTTAAAATAACAAATATGACCGGACAATATTGATTTCACTTGGATCAACAATTTTTACTGTAATATACATGAATATTTGAATGTGTATATGCAAATATTAAACCAACCAATATTGAAATAGATTGTATAGGTACACAAAATAAGTTAAAAGTACAAATTAATAGTAAGAAGACTCGTGCTATTAGTGGTACGAGTAATATGAATTCTAGTTAATGGTTCAACATGGGAAATAGGTCAAACTTAGATAAATAGGCCGTAAAATAATAAACTCAATGCAGTCTATGAAGTTGCGTTGGTTGATTTGATATATTTATATTCCCCTATGAATATACATATATACAACAGTAGAATCTGATGATCTAATTACAAACAATATTGTTTGCTCATATGTGTTGTTCCTTGCACAGATGGAATCTTTAATATTCATGCATTTGTTTGTTGTTTTACGGGAAATGTGTAATTAGAACATCTATATTGCCTGACTCAGATAATTTGAAATTTTAGATAATCATTTAGGCATCTGATATTACTAAATAGAATATACAACTTGAAAACAGAAACAAAGATTGATTTTTGAAGGTTCTTAGTATATCTAATTATCGTAAGGTGTGTTGACTACTGGTTTCAGCCCTAAACAATAATCATAATGAAATAAATGTACTATTTCATTGGTGAATATTCACTTTTAGAGTTTTGGGTCTTTTTATGAACCATAACTCGAAAGTTTGCATTAGTAGTCAGGAAAAAGAAACCTTTATTATGCTGAAAAAACGTGTTTAAGTAGTTGATGGTATTACTCATTTCGTATGTATAGTGGCTATCATGTGTTACACATCTCTCAAAATCGTTGTAAGATTGTCTCCAAGGTAGCAGTAAACATGTGAATAAATATCTACTGATCTACTTTAATTTCCTGAATACCGTTATATGACTATTAACTTAATGCTGAACATGTCCTAATAATTAATGTCTTCTATTTTCTTAATCATTTATCAGTCGAAAAGAAACTGAACCATTTGTTTTGGAAGAAAATGACTACTCCTTAAAGGGTGACACGAAATTTAGTCAATACGATACTAATGACAACCATATAACTGTCACTAATTTACCACCGCGAACAACCAGTGCATACTCTCATCATCGTCACCACGACCATTGTTTGCACAGACGTTCTGAAGTATTATCTGGTGGGAAAACAAATGGTGTGTCTGGAGATAGAAAAATGAAATCCTCAACATTGGCTAGTAATGTTACAACCATTAGCACTACTACAAATGTTGGCAGCAAAGATCAAAAACATGACAAGTCAAATACTGAATATGATACAAATTTAGCAAAAGGTAAGGAGACCATGATATCATCCGTAATATCATCAGGACTATTAACAACAACCACTAGTGCAACAGGACTAACAAAACAAAAATCACAACTTCCAGAGTTACAACAACTACAACCGTCATCACCTATGCAAGACAAAAAGAGTAAAGCTACAACATCCTTGATAACAACTGAAAGTCAAAAATTAAAACATATTTCATCACCAGATGTTCATGAGGAAAATGGTGAAAGTGAAATACCTTATCCTGTTTCAGTATCTGCTGTAAAACCGGTGCCTAAATTGAAGGCGGCGTCAAAATCAAGTAGGTTGAATTAACATAATTAAAGTAACTTTATATATATACATATATATATGAATATCCATACTACTTAGACGTAAAACGTATCATTTGATCCCACACACGAATAAACATCAAGCCCTACTAAATCTTTAAGTGTGAACTCTGCAATAAACGTGATTTGTTTTATATTTTCAAATCTTTTTATACACAAGTCTTTATGTAGAATTAATGAATTCATAAGTTGGTTTTTTTCTAAGTGTCTACAATGTTTACCGAAGGAAGTAAAATACAGAAATGTTTTATTGCTATTCTAACATTTTGATTTTCACAAAAAAAATTCTGCTCGAATGAATAGGAATTTTAAGGCTAATGTGTACACTTTAAGTCAGTTAAATATACCATGCATATATATTTTCATCAGTCAGTCAGCTACAACGCAGGACCGGGCACATATACATCGGTCCAAGTTGCCACACCTCATTAGCACAACAAGATGAACACCATATTCATAGAAGTAGTTACTTCAATGATAGTAATATATAAAAGAAAGATTGCGTATAATGATATAATACAGGAAGAAAGAATTAGTTGGTAGAAAGTAAGGTGTAAGGTAATTTTAATATCACGGTTTATATATATTGCCATTCTTTAAAGACATCAACATCCATCATAGTTAATTACAATAAACTGGTTGGTCCGAAATCGCTACGTTTTCTTTTCAATTCAAAGATTTCAAGCTTGTACAGAGACCATACAACAATATTACTTCATTTTTCCCAGACTTGTAACTATTATCATGCAGACCTATTCCTGCTGTGTTTCATCAATGAAAATAACTGTAGCAGATAAAAAATTGTTCTATGAATAAATACAAGACTAAGTTTGTGTTAGTTTAACATGAAATCACTTATGCTTTTAAGTAAGGTGGACAACGTATTTTTCTAACGTCTATCTCAATTTAGTCATTCACTGTTCTATATTATAAAACATGGCTGCTACCATTATTTTCAAAAACATCTATCTAATCTTTGCTAAATGCAGGTGATATAAAATAATTATAACTCATCACTTTTACTAAGTTTGTGTGTTTAAAGACATTTTTCTCACAATGATGCTATATGATGCGATATATATTCAGTAAATTAGTGAGTACTGCATAGATATTTGAAACCTTGCCCATGAGTTTTGAAACTCAGTGTGAACGTTAACACTGGAATCAAGGTAGATCTAGTTGAACTCGAAATAAGCTGAAACGTACTTTTTGGATCCCACTGATAATCAAATACCATAATCCTCAACGATTTGAAAATTCTGAAAATTTGTTATTTTATTTTTTTAAAATTTTTTTTGTCATTCGGGAGTTGAGGCGAAATCTCTCAGACTACTGAAAACATGGGAACGTCTCACTAAATACGATATAGTTACTTAAACCAAGTGATTAAATTTATCTATAATATATATATATATATCCGGCGAAAATGACAGTTATTTTATTTGTGCATAATTGAGATGAATAGCATATAATTACTCAATATATTCCTTCAAATGGAACAACATTTCTTCTCATTATAAACCTATAATTATTATTAACTGATCGATACATTGCATTTCGATTATTCATTTGGCTGGTTGTATTCTCACTGAACACTTGGAAAGTGTTTTCTTATCACTGGTTTATACATTATCGAATGAAATCGAGTTACAATTTGTCGTTCAACAATTAATAGTAAATATAATTATCTTAACGCAAATTAAATCTGCTATTCAATTATCTTAAATTAATTGCCATCTACCTAACTTGATTAGAAACTGTTACGTCGGCCAATATTGTGGTAATTCTATTATACATAAAATACGATAAAAAGGAATACAATTTACATGCGGCAATCAACAAACTACTTTGAACAAAAGTGTGAGAAGACTTTCGTATATTTTGCTTCTTAAAATCCTATTGTTCATCTCACAAGTAGGTAATAATTATTTAATGACTGAACAATCTGTTGTATTTTATGCAGTGGAATTTACACACGTTATTCAGGTCACCATATTGAAAATATAATTTTTGTCATCATCTGTAAAAGTTTCCTTTCTATACAGTTATGTGCGAGCTGTATTCTGGTCGATCGCAGATATCAAAATGTCCAATATAAAATTTTCCCTTAGTATTTTCTCAATCAGAAACTTTTGGTTTTACATTTCGAAAGTTTTGTAAGGTTGGAATGTTCGTTACATTCCTTATTTGAAATTTATTTAAAAAAGCCTCAGTTTTATTAACTATAGTTTCCCGATTTTCAGGACTTGCAGAAAGTACATTTCATGTAATCCGGTTCTCTTGTATTTTTCCATGTCCGATGTCCACCAACTTTGGTTGGCATTCCATTCTATTTCGGTCAACTCGGTAGACTCAATAAATCACTTTTTGGTTCCTCCAAGGCGAATGTGCAAAATATAAAACACAACATCGATTGATCACATTGATAATACCTAAAGATATTCTTTAGGCATTAATCCAACCTAAATATGTTTCTAACCAACCAAAAGCAAACTTTCATTAGGTAAATAAGTGATCTGGACATTGACGGATTCTAGTCGAAAATTTGATTGATTTAACAAACAACACATTACTTCGTTTTATTGTTGACGAGATACCCGCTTACCTAATCATTTTCATAACGTACTCCGGGAAAACATGGTCGTTTAGAGTAAAGACAATCATAATTGTGTGATTATTTGACATCTCATTATTAGTAATATGGCAAGACAGAAATGTTACTGGTGTTATGATTCGATTTAAGTCAAGTAGATAACCGAAATATTGATAGACATACTACTCATTCTCAATAATTGTTCACTTTGTCATAACCAACCAAGCTCAATATAAAGCATAAGTGTCATGTGCATCATGTCAAACTAGTAATGAAAGATGCAAAAAGTTAATATGGAACTCAAAGCATGTTATGTAGTGTTTTCAATCTTAGTCAGTAATAAAGCGAGACATAAAAACTGAATACTAGAAAATAATTTTTAGAGATTATTAAACACTTAGTATTTCAAGTGGAAATGTATATCTAAAAAATATAAATTATGTAGGTACTGTTAATCATCTAGATCTCATGGCATTCAGCAGATCATCTCCGTCATCTTACTGCACTACTGAAACGTTTAACTCATATGGTGGGGAGGAGTAGTTTCAGTGTATTGAAAGAAAACTTCTAATCTGAATATAAAATTCAGATTTCACTGAGGCTAACTTATTTAATGTTAAACTTTTGGATTGTGAGTCAACATCCATATATATTATTTTTTGCTAATTAACAAATCGGAAGCACATGTACAATTAGTCCATAGAATTACGTCAATAAATTTAATGGATACATCGAATAAAAATTACTGACCTTTATCTAAAATAGTTTGAACCAACCATATCACAGAATAACTTACTTTTGTATATATTTTATAATTGCTGGTCACACAGTAATTTGTGTCAAGTGTATAACGTTTTCTTGTGATTCCATTGAAAAATGTAGTCTCATCTTGAAGTAACAAAGAGGGTTTCCTTTTAACCTTGTTTGACCTTTTCTTTCCAAATATAACAATTTCTAAAAAAAACCACGTCTATAGTGGAAAAAGTGACAAAATGAATTCACTTTACTCAATAATTTATATATAATTATATCTGACAGAACAAATGAGTGAAACTATTATTTTATTCTATATGACTTCAATAGATGGGATAATTTCATACATTTTAATTATTTAATAACTAAGTTGTGTAACTAAGGTATACTAGAAAGGTTAGAGGAAATTAGATTTGCTGGAAAAAATATAAATTCTTATTTCAATTAAATAAAAGTGAAAGATTGAAGATTCATACATAGAACAGTTCGCAATAACTGAACAAGATCTAGAGTATTGACTTATTTCTTAATTGTTTTTTTTATAAAAGGGTTTAATCGTTCAGATCCGTTTGACTTCATTAGAAGACAAGAAAAAAAAACACTTCGAAAAGCAAATGTGTTAGAAATTTGACATTGAAATAATAATATAATAGATTTAATTAACTGATGAAAAAGGTATTACTAATGTCATTCATTTAATCTGGATCATTTATTAATCCTTAAGTAAACTTGTCACATTTGCGTCATTATTGGAAGCAAAACTTTTATTAAATTGTAAAAAAGGCTTTTTCTTGGGAAGTACATTAAACTTATAGTCACTTAATAAATAATAATTTATCGCCATACACTTTCTGGTTATTTATGGGTAGTTTGTGTTGTTTTGGCTGTCCCACTCTGTATGTGATACTTGAAAACGTTTTTCTCAATATTTCAGTCATACACTTATTTGACAATTATACACATATGTATGCCAAAAATATATTGAATTTACATTACTAGGATACTAATGTAATTTGAGTTTTTATTCAATTTAAAGGATAACTGCATTCACAACCAAGCACCTTTCATTACATATGAGAAACAAAATGTCGCTAAGTTCAGATGCATCTAAAGAATTTATCTTATACCTGGGTATTTAAGCAACATACAAACTGACCTTTTCGATACGTTGTAAACAATTATTTTCTGCTGAGACTCATATTTGGGTTTTGTAGTTTGCCTACTCACCCAGCAAGAATTTCTTCCACTTTATGTGTTTGTGACAGCTGAGTAACAGTTCCAACCGTTAATAGTTTGATTTATATGACTTTACCTAGTTGTAAATCTACATCATTTTACTGAGATATAGATCATTCAGAAAAAAATAAAAATGAGCTTCAGATAATTTCAGTCTGTATTAGCAGTTGAGTAGTTTTTATAACTCTAACATCCTGATAAATAAGACTGAATATCATTAATGTGTTTCATTAACTAATAGGCTTCATGTGATTTGCTCCAAAGGATGTTTAAAATCCTTAACTTGAGTACTAAATAATCTTGGGAATAAGGACTAAATACTTTCGATACTGACCCTTTTGATTTATTAACAAAAGAGTTTACGATTTCATTAGTAATTTTTTAATTGTAGTCTAATTTGGTTTCTGATTTACTTCTCTCAATGCTACAAATATATTATAGCAAGTAAACGTCAAATACATGAGCACTTACAACATCCAATACCTCCACCATACTGGCATTATCATCATAATGAAGTACAGCCTCAACAACATCATCACCATCATCATCCAGCCTGTGCATCACTTATCGGTAAACATGAAGCGACAGCAAGGTCGACGAAAGATCAACCACAACCAACTATATATGGATCTGAATTCTTAGCGACAAATTATCCTCACATTTTTACAAAAGTTTTAAAGCCATCTAGTAGTGGTAAATCTGAACCAAGGGTGACATCGACAAAGAAGAAAGTTACTTCTAAACCGTCAGGATTATCAGGTGATCAAATGAAACAGGCCGTTACACCTGACTTCACCGAGAACAATAAAGAGAGTGATGAAAAAATTACCAAGCAAACTAAGAAGCCAGATGAACGATTCAGAGGTGATATGGTAAGGATACGTTGTTTATTCTTTGTTATATCTCAGTTTTCATTAAGTAAATGGATTTTACATTCTGATCTCTCCTTGAAGTTTCATGAAATAAAAAACAAAATTGTTTGAAAACTTTGTGCCAATTTTATCGCCAATTACTGAGCTCTAAATTAAAAAGAGTGGTATTTAATCACACATAACAGAACACCTTTCATCAAATAGCATACCAAAGCATTCTCTTAGATTATTTAGGTCTAAAATGCAGCAAGATTCGTCTTCAATATCATTCTCATGCTTTCCAACTAAGTACCAAAAGTCGTTAATGAAAAGGTTCTCATGTTTGAATTTGTTGTAATGATTGTTTATACAACGCGATAGTCACAAACATAATAACGGTGTTTCATGCGTTTCATTCAAAATGTGTACTAGGGTATCAGCGAAATAAGTCAATTTATATCTTAATAGTGTGGAGATAAACTACACATCATGTACCAGTATTTAGTAAACTCGGTTACTTCAACAAGCTTGTGTGACCAGTGGTGATTGAATAAGAATGTTATTTATCAATAAGGTAACGTGTTAATCAGTAATTTGACATTTACCATTATGCATTTTTGACCTTTTTAAGAATTCCAGCTAAAAAGATACACAAAAGAAACAATCAGTAGCACAATATTGCTATATTATTTCTTCAATTTAATCAATACACAACGTGAACACTAACTATTTGGTGATCAACTATTGCATTACATATAAATATTGTTTGAATTAGTACCAAATATAATTTTCTTTTTATCACTATCATTTAATTTATGGTACGTTGAAAAATTCTAGTTCACCGTTTTTCAAAATTCATATTCATCACTTTATATCGGCCATTTGAGAATTTTGGGATTTATATAAAACTAGCATGACATGTAGACCTACATCATGAATCTATACAAATGTATACAAATAAAGACACGAACATGCATTACAGAATCACTTTTCCTACTTATTTAGCAGAATAATAAATTAGGTATAGTTCGCAATTACATATTAGACAGTGAATCTAAAATTTATCTTACTTCAGATCTTCATTTTCAGAAAAAAATGACATTTCGGAAAATATCGTGATTGAACCAAAAGACTTTAACATTAGCATGGTTATATATATAGTACAAAAACCTTAATGCGACCATGATGTAAAATAATTTATCTATTTCTGTGTTATCCAGGCGACTACATATACATCATATATCATAGCTGCATAATAATAATAAATATTTTAAATGTTTAGGGCAATTGGTGCATAAATAATAACATTTACGCTTACTTTTATTTTTACATAAATTTCGTTTCGAATGAAATCACCTTGAATAACTGGTTGTCATTTATCATGTCGGTAAAGAGTTAACGAGGAACAGTTTATGTTTATGTACTTCAATCTACTTTATTAGACCAGTAGATACAACCCACTTACCCAGAATTAAGTAAGCACCAATCATTACCGATCTCCATCAGAATTCAGTAAATTTTTCAATAGGTGATATATTGAATGAAACACACAATATTTAGAAATATTATAGTTTGAAATATCCAAATAAAGTGAGTTCTTTGTGGTTATTATAGTTTACAATGAAACCTCATAAGATATTTTTGTGATGACTTAAATTAAGTTATTATCTCAACAGGAATTCACTAGAACATTTATTTGTTTCTTTCCGAAGTTATTAAAAATGTGACGGATATTAGATTAGATTTTTACGTTTGTTTAATAAAATCTGACATATCATATGTCATCTATTTAATTTACATCCGTACGAATAATAAATGTATGATAATTACTTAGTTTGAAACTTTTTTTTGTATTAAATTATCTTTTGTTCAACTTAGTGTGTGAATTCGACCAAATGAACCTATTTTTAAGGTTTGTTATTCGATTGTTCCAAGTGAACTGTCATGTTTCGAAAAGCTTGTACATTCTTTCGTATATAGTAATATACTTTATTTCAATTATTAAGACATTTTGATATTTTCATAGAAAAAAAGGATTTTATTATTTACTATTTTATGTAAAACGTTGTAATGAAAAATACAAAATGAGTTATTTTACACTCCTTAGATCTTTTAACAAGGGTAAAAAATGATGAATGAACATTCTAATGTTTACAATTGTATAACTATAAGTATTTGAAAGATGATAGATAAACTCAATGAAATGTCCACTTTAATACCCTTCATGTTAAGTAAAACTGTTTTCACAATCAAAACGAAATTGATTCATGAATGAACTACGAACTCTTATTGGTTAGAATATACGACTTTCAAAGATGATTGCTTATATAAATGTTACTAGATGTTTAACACAACCAATTCAGAATTTTTTTCAATGAATTGATTTCTTGATATTTTAATTGTTTTAAATCAAATTATTTTATCCAAAATTTCATTCTGTTTCTTTTCATTCAAAAGGCTAAATTGACCTGATTAAATCTAAGTATGTTTTTGACCAGATTTAGGTTAACAGTTAAAATAAGACGAAATAATGACAAAGTATGCGTAAAACGCAAAAAAAAAACTGACTACTTCTAGCTTGAATATTAAAGTCTTAACATAAGGAAGCTCCACAGACTAAATAATCATTGCAACTCCCTATCAATACCGGATATTCTGTATTCACAAAAAAATATGCTTAAGTCCTTAAATATATATATATATATATATATATATATATATATATATATATATATTCACTATAATAATAAAATTTTACAGAGAAAAAATTTACTATTGTTTTCTCTACTTTGTAACATTTGAATTTGTTGAATATGGAAATGAAGCAAATCTCAATTTCTGTCATAAAAATTTTAGTATTTTTAACAGTTATTTTCCAAACAGTTTTGAAAATTATCTATTTACTAGGAGACGTTTATCTCAATGAATAATGTCAAACGCTTGTGTGTATGTTATAAAATGTATAAATGACCTTCAAATGTACTATAAAAATGATTAAGTTTATTTCGTTACTCTTGTTATCATGTTCACTTCCAATTCAGCGCACTTCAAAACTACAACATTTGAGTACAAAGATTAATTCAATAAAATAATCGATAACTATAGAAATGAATTTTCGGGATTGAATTTCAATGGGTAAAATTGATATGACATAACGATAAATTTAACACAATTTGGTATCAGAAGGGGTTTTGTGGAGATGGTAATAATTTAAACAGTTAAGATCGTGAGTCAATTGAAGTTAGACCACCATGGAAAAACTAGAAGCACTGGACGACTCATTAGTTACTGGCTTCAAGAGATATATCCTGGAGTTCTAATGAAAAGTCGTGACCAGTGGAGTTCAACCGGGCCAGTTGTGAGGTAGTAACTCACTGACAACAATGGTGGATGTGTCGCTCAATTTCGTGGATCAGTTGAAGTTAGACACTAACACCGTTGGATGCCGGCTCAGTGGTCTAGTTGGTTAAGCGCCTGACGCAAGACTGATAGGTCCTGGGTTCAAGTCCCGCGAGGCGGAGTCGAGGGATCCTACAATAGGACGTGACGGCCGTCCAGTGCCTCCAGGTTTTAATGGTGGTCTATCTTCAATTGACTCATGATTTCAAATGTTTATGTTAACACAATCTCCCGATCAGTGCTCAGATATTAAATATCAGATTCGAAAATAATGTGATTTAGAAATATTTTACTGTTTAGTGTCTTGAGAATTTAAAGCATTATTATTGTGGATCTATGTCTCCGTCGTAAGAGATTTCTAATTTGGAAAGCTATTTCTTGGTCAACGTTTTAATCCTGACTGGATAATTGATTACTTATTTAACTTAATTACATAAGTACGTTAAATCTCAACTAAAAACGCTATTGTATTATATCTATAAAAATCAGTATTCCTTCAGAGGTAAGTAGTGTCATTCACATTATAGTGAAGTTAAAATATCCAGACATTCGTATGAGTTATACCTCTAATGAAAACAAGCTTATGTACTCAAGTGAGAATACTGAAATACAAATATTTATGAGGATCACGTGCAACAGAAAGTGAACAGTTTGAACTACATGACAATCGGAACTTTAACAATAATTTTAATATAAACACACCAGCCGTTTAGCGTCTTTTAGAAAGGTTGTTTTCTACAAGATGGGGTTGCTAACCTCAAGCCAAACCCTCCTCCTTTGCTGGGGCTTGAAATCAGCAGTAACCTTAGGAGAGATACGGGCGGAGTTAATATAAAAATAAACTGACAAATTATTTTTGAAAACTTTACCAGTGAAAACTGTAACGTCGTATAGTTATTCATCATTAGTAGTTACGTAGATTAAAATTGTGATAACTTTTTTCCAGAAATATTTATTTCATTGCTTTGTCCTACTTAACAATCTTCCCACAAAGTGTACTCCTTATGCTCATTAGGGAGAACATAGTATTTTGAACACCAACTTAGTGAGAAATTTCATGATTGACAGCGGTCAGCTTCATTTAGTTCACGACAAATTCCAACTTTAATTGAAAATTGTTCGCTTCAAGCACCATTTTCAGAAAAGCATTCAAATTAAAAATGACATTTTTTTCTCTGTCTTTAATTTATTCGTTATAACCAATCATTTACAGAGTACGTTATCTTAAGTGATTTACTTCTACAGCAGTCTGTTTTCATTTCATTTGACTGAAACCATGTGTCAATTAAATAAACTGAATCTTTTACAAAAGAAATACTACACAAAAAAACAGCTCTTCGATTTGTGTTGACAATAATCTTGGATGACATCCAATTTACGAATTTGATATAAAGAAACTTCATAGTCGTGACCACATTTCTTGATCGCTTTAAGAAATTTCTATTAGTTACAAAGCTTGTTTTATAGACTACAAGTTAATACTATTTTAATTATGGATAAAATAAAGAATATCGATCATTGTCCCTTCATTAGACAGACAGACAGTGTAAATCATTTTCCTTTTCAGTTTCTTTCTATACTCCGTCTTTTGTCATTGAGTAAGTCAAGAAAAGCCGCAAACATATTAACAAAATATTGACAACTAATTCTCGGACTAAACCACTACACCCTCTCAAAACAAAATACCTTTGAGCTAAAAACTAAAGTACGTTTGTCTTAGTTTACATATTTATTTTTAACATCGCAAAGCAAGCATACAAATACTTTCTTAAACACATTTTAGTGTGTGAAACTAATTCCTTAGTCGCTAAGCTTTCTTGATTGCTTGATTTTGAGTCATATTATGGCATGTTTTTCCTATCGATTTTGGTTATATATTTTGAAAGCTAGGCGTTTTTAAGCCTCCTAAATTATTTTTCATAAGAGTTACACAAAATCTTAAACTTGACCAATAATTTAGATAATGTGAATGCTTCAATATTCTCGATCCTGGAAAACGCTTTCACATTCCGTTCACAGTATTGCTTTAAATACTGTCACTTTTTTAAAAGAAACAGTAAATGATAAACAATTTTTATATTTTCAGAAGGGGATTGTGGAGATTTTAGAAATTTTCACAGATTGAAATCATGAGTCAGTTGAAGCTAGACCACCATTGAAAACCTGGAAGCACTGGACGGCCTAATGGTCTAATGGTAAAGTGCTCGCGCGCGAAGCCAGTAGGTTCTCGGTTCGAATCCTGCGGGGTACAGGATCGTGGATGCGCACTGCTGCGGAGTCCCATGCTAGGACGAAACGGCCATCCAGTGCTTCCAGGTTTTCAATGGTGGTCTAGCTTCAACTGACTCATGATTTCAATCTGTGAAAATTTTTATATTTATTGAAAAATGCATAAGTGAGTAAATAAACCAACTGAATAAGTTCGAATTCTTCACACTTCATAACCAATAAATGTGTGGGTTTGTAACATTACTTCTTATGCTAAAGTTCACTTGATTTTCTCTGATATTACTTTTTCATTAAATAGGATCCAAATGAAACTTTTGAAAAACTAAGAGAAGACTTACGATCCGCTGGATTCACTGTGGATACAAATCGTCCATATTTGAGTACAACAAAATCAAAGAATAATAAACAGCCTGCAGATAGTTATGTACAAGAGCCTAAAAAAGTAAGTTTTTCAACTTATCCTACATAATATATTATACCAACAGTACTTGTTGATCATGAACTTAATCAGCATATGATGTTTGATAGAAAATAAGGAAGCAAAAAGCCTAATTTATCAGTTTGTGCTTAAGTAAATCATATTACATGGTTTATTGCTAAATGCATTAATATTCTTGTGGTTTATAAAATCATTTTCTAACTGAAGATAGAATAAACTAAGCTAATATTTCATGAATTAATTAGGTTCCACCGAGATAATTCTTGTCTTCCAATCATTACTGAATTTTTCTAGTCTTTCAAATATATATATATATATATATATATATATATATATATATATATATATCACCAGACTATTTTTATATATTCATATTTACTTGTTATTGATCGCTTAAATAAATGTCTATAACCATGCTTTTCAAATCCCAATACCAAAAATGTTGATTTAAGCGGCTTCAGCTTACAGTGTTCAAAATTATATCGATCATGTCGCAATTCTAAAAAAATTCTATTGTCAATAAAGATCAACATGACAATACAGTTAGAGTTATATTCAGAAGACATGTTTTGTTGTTGTTGACAATTCTTTTTTTGTAATAATAAGTAAGTCATAAATTATTGTCAAAGTATTTTTCGGAAAGCATGGGGTATATATATACATATATCCCTTAATGTTCTGTATTGCTGCTATAGAAGAAATATATAACTCAATATTTATTTATATTTTTCTTCGAGAAGAAAACTGATTACTAACTTTCCTAAACGTAATTATTGTAGAAAGTATTTTTCTTTTTATTTCGTCATTGATATGTACATAAGATTTCCTTCATTATCTATGTATATGCAAAATTGATTCTTTAAACTACTAAGTCTTTACTGGTTATTTTTTTATTCTTACATTGATGAGTATTTAATTTTCCTCTGTCTATGCTTATCTCTTATCAAGACTTTTGAAAAGATAACGACAACAGAAACAGAAAACTACTGTTTTCATCATATATACAATAAAAAAATGAAACATTTTTCTGTTGAAGTATATCTCTATTCCTACTAGATATGAAATGAAGGTAATATTGTAACTTCACACTTAAACTGAGGAAGTACTAGCACGAGGTAGAGAATGAACTTTGTCGATTGTATTGTTTTCTAGTACTATAACTTGCAAAACAGTACAAGTCAGGTAAAATAAATATAAAATAGTCAAGTTAATACAGTAAAAAGATTAGATTCAGAATTACGAAAACTGATTTCAGTGATCAGATCACAAAAAAGGACTAATAATATCAAAATATGAGAGTTTATATTTTTGTGTTGGAGCAGTAAAGCATGAAAGGTGCTTCCTTTGTAGAAATATGAAGTTTTGAAAGAATATTTTTATTTGAAAAGTTAGATAGATTTAAAATAATAACTAATATAAAAAGAAGCTTCGTAAAACATAACGAGATTTTTTCCCGGGATAGCAGTAAACGTCTTCCAATAAACAAAGTCTATTATTGTAGAGAATATAACATAAGCTTTTTATAAGCCTCAAGTAATCAGGTGCCTAAGTTCAAAGCCATCTGCACATCACCTATCTCATTTTAACAATCACAGTGGCATATTTTGTGATGCTACTAAACATTTTACCAACTAAACTGTACCTGTGAATTTGTTGACACGTTTCGTTCGAAATAACATTTGTATCATAAACAGACTGTTTTGTGTACCATGATATTACCGAACAAACAATATGTAGCACTTGATTTACTGGACTTGAAATATAATAAACTAAAAATTCATAATCTCTACTTATAACTGTAAAAATTGTTTCATCATTTAATTACCATCAAAATAGATGTACTGAATTATTCTGAGGACAATATTCAATATCAAGCACATTGTGACGTTATACACACAAATTACATTAAACAAAAAAGTATGCTTATTTTGTTTCTGAAAACTTAACTATGAACAAGTAATACAACTTAAATCAGTGTTTGAAAAATACTTAACGAGTATTTCATTCCCGAAGAACTGAGCTGAAAATAACCAAAACTATAGGTCCAACAGTGAACAGTCAGAACTGGATAATTTAGTAAAATAGACTAGCACACCTATCTGAGAGTTATGACTACGCTTTAGTTTTTGAAATTGCTCATAAAATGTAATAATTATCATTAAATATATTATTCATGTGACTGAACTAAAAGTGGATTTCTCGATATTCTTGTTGAACGTCACAAGATATGTGTCGACATTGTAACTCGCCTAGTACACTGAATGATTACAAACCAATTGAAGCGAAAACTCAAGTTATTGTATTCTGACTAATTGGTCTATGTGTATCCTACTTGTTACGAGACAAGTATATACAGCGTTTTTCTTTGGCATAATGGTATGTGGACACCGTTGAGGATTTTGATAAGGATGTGATAAACCGCTTCGTATCTATTGTCTTATAATGGTTACTTATTTGACATTAACCCATTTAGTGAAGTACTTTGAAACTTTATAAACTTTTAACGAATCATTTATCTTTGGAACCAAGGTATAAACGTTTCATTCTTTCCTGCTTTATTTTACGTATAACCATAAAACATGAAAATGAAGTAAGTATTTAGTCAACTGAGAAAGTTACTGAAATGTATCAGTCTCCCCACTGTCAACAATTCTGACAGTCTTCTCATCACTTTTTAGTACCTTAGTAACATTGTATTTAAAAGAACAAATTAATATCTATTCCCGTTTTCTATTTTTATTCTTAGATTCGATTCAAAAATCACCAAATTTGTTTTCTATAATTACTACACCTAGTTTTTCAAATAGGCTCTAACAAATTACATCACATGTATATGTGTATATAAGGGTTAGATATTGGATAAATTTATGTTGTTCATTGACTAGATTATTTCAAAATATTCATTTCAAAATTTCTTTTAAACATATGAATGTTCAGGCTGGAGACAAAACTCACTCACAGAGTAAACCTAAACGAACAGATGTGACAAATGATCGAGTAGTATCCTCCAATTACAGTAGATTGATAACTAGCAGTACCACTCCTACGACGACTTCTACTTCAACTACTCCCACCACTGTTGCTGCTGGTACAGTTCCAAGTGAATCAATAAAATCCGATGCAGTGAAAGAACTAGAGTTGGCTACTTCGACAGGAAAAGTGAATATTTCAAATCTTATTCCAACATATGATTCAATGTCAGGTTAGAGTTGATAACCCTAAATTCTGTCATTATTAGCATTCTACATAAATTAAAATGCAACCTTCCTTTTAATCAATATGATTTTTATCTGTAGTTAAAGAGTTTAATAAATCTCAAACAATTAGATTAAAACGAGATGTATAAACGAACAATGTTGTTTTCAGTTCGATTATCAGACTTTAATGTTCAAGAATATTTATATGCAAATACGAAATCACTAAACCAATCAAGCTAATTTATGAATCCGTGATAACAATGGAATAGATCACATACATAAATTTAATAAGTAAAAATTACAAATTGATGATATGATGACAGATGTACTAGTTGTTGGTATTAGGTCAACGACTTGGAAAAATAGACACACATTCACTTGGTGTTGTTCTACTTGTATCTTCCCACACACATTGATTAGAAATTATAAAATTGCGTAATAAGAAGTGTTTAGATCATTGGACAGTAAAATGTATATTTGAGAAAGGGGGGTGAAGAAAAATAAACCAACAAAGAGTATGGAAAATAATAATAAATAAAACCTTTTGTTGTTTTTACTTTAAAGGTTTTTTGTAGAATTTAGAAATTTATTCAATCATTGTCTGTTTTGTAATAAGTGATTAGGGGAATCATGTAATGAATCTTCATTAATCAAGGCTACGAACACTAGTTATTAAAGCTTGGAACAAGTAATTAAGTAATCCAGATAAGTTCCTTTAATTTCATTTAATAGACATTAAATAAAGGATAGAGAACATGGTGTTATACTTGTGTCTGCTAATATTTTTATATAATACGTAAGGGATTAATAATGTCTGCTAAGAAAAATATCAAGTCATCACTAATAGATTAATACTAATAAGCACCATCAGAAGCGGTTTTGTGGAGATTTTTATCAGAACGGGTATTGCAGAGATTTTCAAAAATTACATTTGTTGAAATCATGAGTCATTTGAAGCTAGACCACCATAGAAAACCTGGAAGCATTGGATGGCCGTTTCGTCCTAGTATGGAACTCATCAGCAATGCGCATTCACGATCCCGCACCCCGCGAGATTTGAACCCAGGACCTATCAGCCTCGCTCCAACCAATTAGACCACTGAGCCAGCGTCCAGCGGCTTTAATGTCTAGCTATGCTGAGGAGTCCCATACTAGGACGAAATGACCGTCCAGTGCTTCAAGATTTTCCATGGTGGTCTAGCTTCAATTGACTCGTGATTTCAAACAGTGAAATAAGCACTGGTCAAGTATAATTAACTGTGAAATTTATTCAGCTGTGCTAATGATTAACTGTATTAATAATTATTCTAAAACTTCAATGATTCATTAGCATATAGAGGTTAATGAAGTTCATTTGTATAGAACATTTTGATTTCCAAAGTCAATCAACGATAATTATGCAAAGTTTATCAAATTCAAAAATATATAATAAAAAACTTTCCAAATAAAAAAATGTCATCTTGAGTATTATTTTTTCGGAAAATGATATATTCAAGGGTAATTAATAGCCTGAGATTCCGCCGTATGAAGGTTTCTTAAACAGCCTATTAGTGATAATTTGTGAATATCAGTTTTCTAACTAATCGTTAGCTATTATATATCACTTCAGTGTGTGTGCTTAATTACCTAGAGCTTTATTCACTTTATGGTGTCCAACCATCTTAAAATGGGATATGTTACATGAAGAATAAATAGGATGTGCAAGGATTTCATAAAAAAATTCATTTAATTGCGATTATGAATTGACCAAAATTAGACAACTATTAAAAACCTGGAAGCACCATTGGATACCGTCTTAGTGGTCTACAGATTATGTGTCCATGAGCAATTTTTGATCTTGAATTCGATTACTAGTTGCGAGGTCATGAATGTGCACTACTGACTACCATACTAAGACGGAGTGACAGTCCAGTCCTACAAGGTTTTCACTGGTTGTATAACTTTGATCGGTTTGTGATTTCAGTTAAATTCAACAATTCACAACTATATTCTGGTAAAATTCATTTTATGAAGTCTAGTTAGAATTAGATAGCTAATAGTACAATGCTTTTTCAAATATAAAGGGTATATCAGAATGGGTTTTGTGGAGATTTTAGAAATTTCACAGATTGAAATAATTGAAATCAAGGGTATACCTGAACTGATTACAGTCCATCTTTTATTTTATTGATAAATGATAAGTAAAGAACAGATGATTTTGATATGGTGAATGAGTCAATAGTAACGTATTCATCGTGTGCAGATAGAGTATATGATGTACCAAAAGAAAACGAGACACATTATAGGTTTTTCAAAAATATGAGGATAGAATGACAGATCTGTTATGTAATTGTTTTGCTTGTATTTTTAATTCACCCAGAGTCTGCTCACTCTATAAGTACTATATAAATAACCCACTACTTATTTTTAGTGCAAAAAAGTATTCATGACAAGTGTTTAACTAATTACAACATAATATAATTACACAGTTTCTTCAATGCTATATGTTCAAATGGTTTATTAAACCTTTACTGTACAACCTTCATTTATATGTTCCTTCCTAGTTTTTCAGTCTATTGATTTTTTAATCATATATTTTCTTTAGGTATACACCCACGTACTCCTATATACCTAGATTCTGAATCAGAAGAAGAAATGATTACAAATGTTAGAAGCATGAGTGTTGAAGAAACTATTGAAGCACCAGACACAAAAGATTCACAGGTTTGTAAGAAACAAGTTGAAGAGTGGATAGAGAAAAGTCAGGCAGTATACAATAAAGAAGAATTATCTAAAGATACAGATACTCAGCCGTTACAAAAAGATGATAAGCAGCATACAGATATAAAAGGTGCAGTTGATTTAAGTCTTGAACATAATGTTGAAATCAAACCACATTTGATGAGTGAACATTCTCAAAACAATTTGATTCAGCGTTCACCGAGATCTCATTCACCATCACTCCCTCTTTCATGTCATTCGGTTGAACCGGGTAGTACAGATTTATCATTCAGTTCTAACTTATCAACCTCAGCAAGTTCATATTCTATGCTTTCTGGCTATGATTACACTCCAAGTGTAGGTTGTTCATGTGAGCGTGTTCACACACATGGTTATGATGACTATTCTTTATCCTCTTTTACTTCTTCGTCTTGTGAATATCCTCATCATACACATAGATCTCATCACAGTCGGCCTAGCTCTTTTCATAAACAGCATGGTTACTATCGTCATCAAACTTGTTACTGTCATCGTTGCACTTCAAGATCAAGAGATGGTCGTCATAAACGCCATGCATCAGAACACCAATATCAAAGGCATACTTTACATAAACACCCAGAACGTCATCGCTCTCATCATTCAGATCATCATCGCCATCACAGTCACAGTCACCATTCATCTGGTAAACACTCGTCACTTCATTATCCTCATCATCATCGTCATCATCACCATCATCATAAATCTGAAAAAGATCACAAACATTATCACTCAGATGAACTTAGTGATGACAAATCGTCAACTTCAAGCAGTAAATCATTAGAAAAGATTTCACTAAATGAAAATGATCTTCTAAAATCTAACTTAGAATATTCAACAACCATGATTTCAGCCGAAAAGTTATCAGACGTTAAAAATTCACAAAAAGAACTTTTATCCAATTTAAAATTACAAGAACGTAAATTAAAACAAGAATTAGCTAAACATCGTGCACTGACAGAGAAACTAGTTAAAGTTAAACGCTTTAATGAAAAATTATTAACTATGGGCAAAGTTAGTTTATCAAATCCGATCTTAAGTCTAACTAAGTCAAAAGAAACTAATGTTGTTTGTGTTGCTACTGAACGTGAAGTTGATGATAACACTACTGAAAATATTTACAATAAAGATAGTATCGATGTGGTTCATTCAAAAACTACACCTTCAGAGTTAAATGACGAAATAATTATATCAAAAGAACAAAATAAAGATGAACTAAGAAAATCACATCGTCGTTTACATCATAAAACATTATCAAGATCACCATCCCATAAATTGTCCAAATCTCGATCTGATCACAGTAGTGCTAGTCGGCGTCGATTACGGAAAACCACAAAACATGATCAGGAACAGTCAACTGATGTTCAAGGAACTACTCAAGAACCACACATTAAATCTAGTCTAACAATAGAAACCAATATCAATAAAGAGTAAGTTTGTTTAAATCTTTTCTTGTTTGCCCATATGATATTCGTGAGTAAAAGTTAACAATTAACATGTTAACTTTCTTTTCTTTTCGCACTACAAAGAAGAAAAAATTCAGGGAAAATATGATCAAATAAAGTACAGGAATATAACGAAGGTAGTGTGTAAAACTGAAATGAATAAGTGAACTCAATAACATAAAACGTTCCCTAGATTTCTTCTATGAGAAATATGTATTTTCAGCATGGGGATTTGTGGAGATTGTAGTATTTTGACAGTTGAATTCCCCAATGGATCTAAGCTAGACCACCACTGAACACCTGAAAGCACCGGAGTGCCATTTCATCCCAGTATGGGGCTCGCTAGCAATGCGTATGCACGATCCTGCACACTGTTGCACAATATCATGTATTGACTGAAGTTAGACATTAACACCGTTGGATGCCGGCTCAGAGACCTGGAGATTAAGCGTTTGCTAGCGAGACCGAAGTTCCATGGTTTGAGTCCCGCATGAGGAATTGTGGGTTCGCACGGCTGAGGTGCCCCGTACTAGACGAAATGGCCGCCTAATGCTTCCAAGTTTTCATCAGTGGTCTAGCTTATATCGACTCATGAATACAATTGTTATAATATATGTTTGATCATTAAAATGTTCATACTGGCAACTATATATTAGGTTCTTATAAAGAATCGAGTTTGGTTGTAGAGGTTTAGAAAACAAAACTAAGCTTTCCAGTTGAGAGCTCCGCGGAAATATCTGTCAAAAATCGAACCTGGAAAGAAGTGGCCTAGAAATTAAGATGGTACCTTTATACCTCCAGAGCACAAATCTATCTCAATGAGTTTATTCGGTTATCATGTATCAACATTTTCGTTTCAAAATAGACATGAATGCTTGGTAAGTGGGATTAAACATCCACATGGTAATGATTATTTATTACAAGATAATCTTAACAAAGACAAGTAATCCATCTTAATTCAGTCTAGTTATTAGGAAATAACTCTCTAGAGTCAAATTGATTACATTGTAAGGGCCGTCAAATCGATTATATGCAATTTTGCTGGATAAGTTTGTAGCAGGATTCTTTGGCCTTCAATATAGTTAAAAAACTATAAAAAATAAGGGAATATATGGGATTATTGTAGATATAGTGACCTAGCTTAGTTTGATACATTTTATTACACAACATTTCTGCGTTAAGCAGCGATTGTGAATTATACCAAACATATAAATCATCAGTCCAGTATGAATTCAATGAAAGCGAAAAGAACTAGCAACTGTTCTTCCTTAGTAATTGATATGTCTTTTTTGTGTTTTACGAACTCTCATTGTGTCTCAAGAGTGACTTTATCCATATAGTTGTTTGAATTTCTAAACCCAAACTGGAGGAAATTAGGAAAACACATTGTAAATAGATAGGACATACATTACGGAAACCACGAAACTGCATCACGAGGAAAGCCCTTACCTAGAATCCTGAAGGGAGGCAAAAATGGGGAAGGTCAAAGAACTCATCACGTCGGTAACTAGAAGCAGATATGAAAAGGATGAATAACAACTGGAAAGGATTGTCCAGGACAGGGTTAAATGGAGAGTAAACATAATAACTGGACCTTTTTTGGCGTTTTTCAGTGAAAGATAATCTCGGAATAGTCAAAGTGGATTATTCTTTTCGATAACCCAGAGTGCTTTCCAGCAAGTTTACAACCATTTAAATTGTTGCTTTAATTGCTTTTGGTTCACAACTCATTTTATCTTGTTTCACTATTTTTTTCTCATTTCTAGATCTACGGAAACAATGGGTGACGGATTAGAGTCAAAAAATCTAGAGTCAAGCTCGTCTCATAAAAGGAAGGGAATGAAGGATGTACAACACCAAGAGGGTCAAAAACATCGTTCAAAGTATGAATCAACTTGTAAGCATCATCACGACCATCGTCGGCATAAACATAGTGGTCATCATGAATCAAACGAGACAACAACCGGTAACGACAAAACCAAGGGGTTAAATGAAATGCCGAAATCTGATCAACCGGAAGTCGATCAGTCAAGTCTATCTACCAGTTATAAAGAAGAAGAATCAAGTATAACTGGTTAGTTGGTGTGCTTTTATTTTGACAAATGATAGGAAGCGTAGTATAGGAATCTGACTTAAAGGCTAAAGGAAAACCCGACTAAATAACTTGTAAGAATTGTTGAATTTAAATAAAATTCCACACGATTAGATGTTTTTGCATAAATATGTAAGCTCTAATAGCCATTGAGACTGAAAAATAATCAATCATTCAGCATGGTCAAAATAATCTTTATAAATTATAACGATATTTAGTTAACTTTTGTGAACCGTGGATCTACGTGTATTGCGATCTGATTTATTCAAAATACTGATAAGTTTAAATATTTTTTAACATGTTATTGATTTTGCTAGCCAATTATGAATTTTTTTTCTTATGCCTAGTCAGAGAATTTTGAAGATTGTACATTTCTAAAAGCAAAACATTTTTCGGACTACTTTGAGGCTTTAGTTATTGGACCAAACTTTAATGACTGAGACCCTCACACCATTACACAAACTAACTTTGGAATAACGCCAATTTTAAAATGACCTCTAAATCTACTTTAAAAATTCAGCAACTGTATCGAAAACCCGGGAAATAAAATAAATCCATAGGATGAAATTACTTGTCTGTATGAATTCTTTATTCTAATTAAAATTATGGTGAAAATATTTTCGCCTAGCAGACTTACAATGATATTTTGCAAACACTAAACTTTATAATCTACTGGAAATCAAAATGTTTACGTTTTCTATCAGTTTTGTCAGGCCAACTTTATTGTAATTCCTTATTATTTATCCTTTCATTACACTATTTACGCTCTTTCTCTCTCTCTCTCTCTCTCTCTATATATATATATATATATATATATATATATATATATATATATATATATATATATATATATATATATATATATATATATATATGCATTCCAAGTAAGGACCAGTGTAAGACAAAGCAGTCTACTCTCCCTCTTTCTCTTTCTTCAGATGTTTGAATGGATTATGAAGGCCCTCACATCTTAAGGGAAGCACTGAATACAACTGGTAGTTTCGATGTAACTAGACGAATTGGATTTCACAGATGAACTAGCCTTCCTATCACATACACAACAACAAATACAGGCCAAAAAAAACAATTGTAGCAACAGCCTCTGCATCAATAAGCCTCAACATACACAACGCAAAAAGCAACATCCTCTAATACAACAAGGAAAACTCCAACCCAATCACATCTGATGAAGAAACTCAAGAAGAAGAGGAAAGCTTCACATACCTCGGTAGAAGCATCATCAATGAACAAGGATGATTCAATGCAGAAATAAAAGCAAGCATTGGCATAGTAAGGACAGCCTTCCCACAAATGAACAATATAAGCAACTCAAAACAACTGTCAATCAACATCAAAGTCACAATCTTCAATACGAACGTCAAGATAGTTCTACTACACGGGACTGAAACTCGGAGAACTTCTACAACCGTCATCAAAAATGTGCAAGTATTTCTAAACAATTGTTTACACAGGATACCTAATGTCCGTTGATTGAATACCATCGAGAACAGCCTATTGTAGGAGAGAACATGCCAGCTGCTAGTTGAAGAGGAATTTAGGTGGGAGATGGTAGAGGTGGATAGGACATACAATACGGAACTCACCAGACTGCATCACGATGGAAGTGCTATCTTGGAATCGTGAATGTAAAGGGGAAAGAAGATGAAGAAACACACTGCACTGGAGATTGTATGTAGACATCAAAAGAATGAATAGCGAGTGTAAATAACTGGAAGTGATTATCTATGACGGAGTTGGATGGAGAATGCTGGTGAGTGACCTATGCTTCTCTGTGAGTGGTAACAGATGCAAGTAGGTAAGTAAGTAGGCAACAAATCATGTACAACACTACCATCTTTAACCTTTTTAAGATGACGAACTGACCTAAGTTACACAATCACTGAAAAACTGAAAGAATTGAACGGAGGTTTCTTCCAATTATGAGACTTCTCAGAAGTGCATTCTACCCCTGGCGACTGAACTCGAAACCTTCGGATCCACGGCAAGGCACTTAACCTCCAGGCCACTGAGCCGGAATCCACTAACGTAAATGTGACTTTGTATAGACAATACAAGAAAATATATGTCTTTCTGCTGAATATTTTTCTCAGTAATCGACAAATCAAAGTACATGAACCATTTTTTAAATGCAAATTTCCATTATTTGCTATCGTTTATTGATCAACGTGTTAATAATGACTTTTATCAAATTATAGATTTTTATGATGAGAGACGAAATTTCGACTTTATTATCATTCATTAGTACCCATTTTCTTCAGCTATGGTTTCATAATACTTTAATACTTTAATAATATCTTATTATAAATAATGCATTTTTGTGCTAGTTAAATGGTTTAGCAACATTTTAGGAATCTTCTGTGACCGAAATTCTTTCGAACATTACACACATTGTATTTAACCAAGTAGAAGAATAATTTCACAAAAATATGATTCCATATTTTTCGAATATAACAAACAATTTATTATCAATTAAATAAAGTGCTTTCGTTGCCAATGCCTTTCTCTTTTATAAACTTCTGAATAAAATTATTCACCTATTAGTTACTCGTTTTTCCAATGAATCGCAGAAATTTCCAATTACCATTAAATTATGTTATATACCTTTAATCACAGATGAAAATCGACCAGTTAATGGCCATCATGGGAAAGATTAGTTAGTAGTTATCAACCGATTTTAAGAAAGCTATTTTTTCTCTAATCCTTAATTATATTTAGTAGTAAAAACGTTTACTTAGATTCTCAAATATTACTAACAAATTTGGTAACACAGTTATTTATTGTACCCTGATGATAATTTTTTTAGATAATCTTTTGATCATCACTAATAAAGCAGCAATTGAATATCAATGTGGTGAACAATCTCCAATCCATGACCAATCTGATGTTATGAAACATTCAACGTCAACTACAACTGCCTCTTCAACATTAATAATGACTGAATCTGATCAACAAATTCATCAATCTACTCATCCAACACCTACGCATCCAACAGAACCAAATGCAGTCAAGTGCAGTTTAGAAGTGATTAATGAAAAACAAGATAATGATCAATCATCCAGTTCTCAACATCTTTCTAACGATGAGGAAAGGCAATTGGTTATAAAAAATCAAGTAAGCAAGATTTTATTCAATATAAAATTGATGAACTCATATTAAAGAATAAATGAAGAAATTGATGAGACAACATTTATTTTTGTCTAATATTTAATTATCATTCTGATTTAATACATGAAATCGTATTTATAAACAAAAAGAACAACTTATAAGATGATAAATGAGATCACGTTATCCATTAAATGGAATTTATGTTCAGACATTTACTTTAGCAACACTGGCTACTAATATAAATAAATTTAGAATTCACATTCGACTAATGTCAGTTGAATTAATTTCATTAATTTTGGCTGTTTCATCGTTTCTGTTTTGACTACTTTTAAATACATATATTTTGAAGCTAGTGTTAGCGAAAATATTACTAAAATCTAGAGCGTACTAGACAGATTATTTGTCCCTTATTCACCACTAGATATAATACTCACCTATGAACTCGTATAAGATTGATCTTGTAAGGTTTATTTTTCGTGACTACTAAACTGAATAACAGTAGTTCACACTTCCTATCTCAGTACATTAAAACAAAATTATCAGCATTTATTCAGCAATTATCACGGGGAAAGTAGCATAATTTCATTTTAGTATTCTTTCACGATCCCTAAGTATTTAGTTTTCAGTTTTTTGATCGGAAGAAAATCCCTGATTATAACTAGTATATGTCCTATGGTTATCATGATCTATAAAAATACATATATAGGTAAAAAAAATATTCTGTATCGTCAAATATATGTAGTCTTCATATAAATATTCATTGTTTTTTAGAGTTCAAGCATTTATGAGAATCTTATCATTTCTGAAACTAAGCACATTGAAGAAAGTCAGTCAACACAACTGGCTGGTGATCAGACAGATGAACTACCTCCAGTCCCACCAACATGTCCACCTCCTATTGATTATACACTTCCACATGTCACTGATCAACCTGACGAGTCTTCTGATCTAATGGTTAAGCAAGCAATCGATTTATTAGATGAGGTTAGTTTTATATTAACGTTAAAATTTTCATTCCAAAGTAAGCCTTAATTAGTTTCTGAATAGAACTTAACATTAAATCATCATGTTTTCAGCTTTGATTAGTTTCTGCCGATTAAACTTAGTAAACTGAAAACTGGACATAGTAGTACTATTTGTTCAACTTTATGCAGGTAAGAACAATCTAGAGAAATACCTAGACGTATTTTTTTGTCACGTTGGTTCTCATCAATGCGACGTACTTAGTGCTGCTCCTAAGATTCAAATCCACAACAACCATCGATGACTTCACAGAGTGTGTTATTCAATATGGGTCTGAATTCCGTTCACAGTTATAGGTTCACCTTGTTAATGAATGTCGAACGGCAGAAAACCTATGTTCAGGCATTCAATTTGCTTGTCTTTAACCACCAAACAAGTAAAATCTTGGGTTTAAGAATAAATTTTGATCTATTTATTATATAGCTATTCATTTTTTGTGGTGAACTTTAAAACCAAAAGTCGAAACATTAATAGAGTACATTTTTGATTGAAAATATGTTTACACAAGTTATTTTCTAAAATACATAACATTTCCTTTCTTTATCTGGAAAGGATTTAATTTTCAAGTTCATCTTAATTTTTAAGGACTTTGGTGGTGAAACAATTATATTGGTGTGTTCCGCACATTTGTTCAGGGCGCCAGCCAAACTAGTGAAGCCTTAATGGTGATTCCTGTAACTACGGCACCAAATGAAAAGTGTTCAAATCTCTCAGATATATTTATGTCATTAAGGCTACAGACAATGTGTTATTATGATCTTCAACATAACCTTAGGGTAGATCTCAATAGTTCCTTTTTAATTACATTTAAATTTCGGAACTGGATATCACATTTCTGTAATATAACTGTTAGCTTCAATGTAATTTATGAAAGCGGGCTATTACCATCATTATGATTATTAACAGTTCACTGAAAACATCTTTAATAAGTCATGATAAAGTGTTAATATTCAACCAGTTAATTCAAAGATATTTCAGTAAATTTTCAGGTTTTACAAACCAAAATAATGATATTGTTTCTATAGTTTGAAGACAACTCTTTAAGTCTGTTAAACATTACATTTTCGAATGCGCACAAGATTTCATATTCATACGATCTTAGAATCATCATATCATTACACCATTAATATTATGCGATCCTCATTTGTAAAACGTTACAAATATTTACCAGAATACCAAAATGCATCTTTAACCTTCGAATCGTCTTAATATGCTTCATCGTGTCATATATTTTGAACAGTATGTATTTAAGAAAACAACAATAGATTTACTATAGTTTTACTATAACACATATTGAATAATTTAATAGATTTATTTTGCAAGGCTCGATGTGTTTTAAAAAACCCATTGATCACTTTTTGATGCCACATGGTTTGTCATACGATTGATTTTCAAGATTTCTTTTTGTATTCTTTTGGAAATACGACTATGTCATGACTAAAACCTATTTCTTTTAAGTTCAAAAGATTTGATCTGAGTTTCGACCCTTTGATTTCGACATGTGTAAACGAATAAACCCATTTTTCACTCGACTATTCAATGACGTTTAAAATTTAGATTGCTGATTTTGATGTAACCATAACTAATACTTCAATATCTAATGTTAGACTAGTAATTAATTGTATTTGAATATATTTTCCAGTTCTGCCGTATTATGAGTTTAAACGTATATCGTAACACTTGGTTTATGATTGATTTTCAGTCATTAATGATCAAAAATTTCTAATGAGAATGATTTATTTCTCTTTATGGTTAGGTTGTTGCGAAGTCTACACAGATTGACGATATTAGTGGTCAAGGTCGACTGCTTTCCTCCGTAAATAGGTGTCTTGAATATAGTTCATCAGAACAAGTGATGTTAGATGATGACAATGAATTTGATGGGACGAGGATTTCCAATATATTAGAAAATAATGAAAATCTATTTGATACTTTAGCTACGGCTGACAACAGTGCATACGGTAACAAAATGACACGGATCGTTGGGGAAATTATTCAAAAAGACGTAAGCAATCGACCATATTCACCTTGTGAATCTACAACATCAGCAAGTGAAGGCAGTGAAGATATTGAACCGTTTCCTCCTCCGCCATCTGCTGAAGTGTTGGCTGAAGTGATTGAAGAAGAGGCAGGTCCTAACATAGAAGTTGTTGAGGAAGAGGAGGAAGAAGAAGAAGAAGAAAATGATGAAGATGATGACTGTGAAGAAAACAGAAGAAAATCGAGTTCTGTTTCTACTGTTATAGAAGTTTCTTTACCTATTACTGCATCTGTTTCTACAACACAAACTTTTGATGATAATAAAACGACCGACAATAAACCAGAATTTTTAAATGAAGAAATCAGAGATGACCCATTTATCGTAGATGAGGCAAACAAAGATGATACAGCGATATCCGAATCTGTAAAAAGTATTGTGAATGCAGAATCAAGCATTGTTGTATGTAAGTGAATGGAATATAATTGAAAAACAAATAATATCTAACAATTTTCTTTATTTTTTAATTTGAGAGAAAACTGGGATAATTTATTAGGCGTGTATACTACTAATAATTGCTTGTATGAGGCATGATTCCTAAAATAGCTGAAAATATATGCATTGCTTCAGTCTTTTTCAATATGAACATAATGTTAATTTTCATTCGCTAGATTACGTTTTATATAGTTACAATTGTATACCCAATTTTAAGGTTGTTGGATTAGCATGCACATACATATATGAAGTGACTAATCTTGAAAGTTTATAGCTCGCACTCTACTATACTTTGTTGTGGTTCCTATCATTATTCTGATCGGCAATGATACAGACTATTTTATTGACATGTGCCTTTCATTATTCTATCGAACTCGAATCCATTTTTGTTATGCAGTTTTTTCTATCGTTCTATAGACATACATTTTTCATATAACTATATATACGAATGTACAGCTTAAATGAATGATTTCGTCGAAAAGAAAAATTCCTGAATTCTCTTTTTCTTATTCAAAGATACTATAGGTTATTTTAATTATTTTGTAGTCACCTTATTATTTCAAAGAATATTTACGTACATGAACTCAATAAGTTTACTATTTCCTTCAATAACCAATATGAGTAGATCATGGTTAATTCAGTAATTTCATTCTGTTGTTTTTAATATACTAAACTAAAATGTATACATGTAGTTTAATGGTTAATTCAGCTGATTTGTACTTTATAATGTATGCTAGAATTTTCAAAATCTATTAAACGTATAATTCACTGGTTGAAATCATGAGTCAATTGAAGCTAAACCACCATGGAAAACCTGGAAGCACTGGATGGCCGTTTCGCCCCAGTACGATTCCACCCTCAGCGAGATTCGAACCCAGGACCTACCAGTCTCGCTCCAGGCGCTTAACCAACTAAACCACTGAGCTGACCGGCATCCAACGATGTTAATGTCTAACTTCAACGGCCTTTCAGTACTTCCAGGTTTTTCATGGTGGTCTAGTTTCAATTAACTCATGATTTCAACCAGTGAAATTTCTAAAAATCTACACAAAACCCATTACAATAAACGTATATTTATTTAACAATTTTGAAATCTGATTCTGATTAAATAATAATCCATGAAATACGTCTACTAATTATTCCCGTTTTTTTTTGTTTTTCGGCATTTTTTTAAACACTAAAATCTATTCATTCTAATAAATGTTTTCATTTTAGCTACTCAAACAAATGAAACTGAAAGTGATGAAAAGTTAACAATAGAAGAATCATCATCAACAAATCAAAATGTAGAAATGAGTTTATCACTACAATAAATTTGTAAACAATTACATATTCACATAGATATTAACTATAATTCATCATGTTTTATGTCAATGAAATAAAAGAAAGAAAAAAAGAAAAAATCAACCCCTACTTATATAATCTCTATATAGAAATATCAATATAATAATAATAATCATAATAAATTTATTCCAATTCATTTTCTCATTTCTATTCTGTTTACATTTTTATTTTTTAGAAGAAAAAAAATAAAAGAAACGATTGTTATAGTTCACCTATCAAATAATTTAAATTATATTTACCTATTTTGTTAATTGTTGTTACAATTCAACATTTTGAAAGTATTATATGTTGTGTTAAATATTCATTTTAGTTTCATATTAGTTTTAAATTTTTACTTATTTTTATTAGCTTTCATATAACATTAAAGTTCATACTGTTGTTATTGTTACTGTTCTATTATGAATATTATTACTACTACCATTACTATTACTACTTAAATCATTATTATTAAACTTACTTCCATGATTGTTACTAATACTGCTGTTGGTAGTTATTGCTTTACGCTTTAACTACTTTTATTAATAATGGGTGAATATTAATTCCATGTTGTTTTTTTTATATAGATTAGATTTCATTTTCTCTTGTTTTAATTTCATTCTTTTTGTTGTTTATCTATTTTTAAGTTGTGGTCATTTTTTTTTATTATTGTTGTAAACTGTAGGTATGCTTTCTTTTCTTTATTTGTATACTGCCAAAATGAAATGAAATGGGTTAGTTTGATTATCGTTTTCTAAAGTAATTACTGCTAAGCGGTTTTATATTCGCATTGTGTACACTTGATATAAATTCATCTTTTTTTTTTAGTGTGATAGCAGAAATAATTGAAATGAAAGTTTAATAGATTGCATAGCAAGCAATTAAACAGAGCACGAAAGAAATGACAAATAAATAAGATGATCTTTTCAGTTTGTTTGCTTTACCCTTTTTATCACTTTTATGCGTATCTATGTATGTTTGATTTATCTTTATATTTGAGCTGCTTGTTTTCTATCCTTGACACTTTTTCTACCATTTTCAAATAAAGTTCGGTAAGAATGTTCTGTTCATAACAATACATCATTGTTTATTTAAAAAAGAAAAGAAAATTAACTAGAATTGTTAATGTGTATTTCCGCTTTCATTTCCACCCGTCTCTACCTCCATTCTATTCCAATGATAGTTTATTTACACTTTTTTGTCATAATTTTTTGTTTATTTTTAACCATCTGTTTGTTTGTTCGCCTGTTTGTTTATCCATAATTTTAATAATATTTGGTGTGTATCGAAATAATAAGTAGGGAAGATATTTACAATATTGTATTTTTGAGATGTTGTTGCTATCAATAGACAAGAAAATCACATTATAACTACGATACTTGTTTACAGGTAGTAGATATATCGGACGAATACCTGATCAAAAACATGTATCTTTCATTCATTTCAATTAAAAAGTAGTATTGCATTTGTAAATATTGGTAATAATAATAATAATCGTGACCTATAATATTCCGCGTCTTCATTCCCTTTTCAATTCTAACTTCGAAGGAATTCATACCGTTATTTTTTCAAGAGTATATCTCACCAGTCTGTTAAAGTCGGTTTGACAAGTGATAAAACAAAAATATATGTAAATTGCAAGTTATGTGATCGATCACTTGACTTGGTCGTGATCGGATGATGCTTGTTAACAAATCATGATTATCTATAAAATCTTACAATAAGTGAACAGTAGAATATAAATAGCATAACTGATCAGCTGAAATAAATCACTTTATATAACAAAATAATGTACTTTAAAAACAAAAATTTCACACACATTAACATGATGAAAATCCATCTAAAACATCAATGAGTTTTCTATACTGATCTCATGGGTTAACAGTGAGTCTATGAAATCACAATATGATAGTCAATAGTACTTTTTGATCCCCATATTACCTCATTATATACTGTGTGATATCTAGAGAATAAAATTAATATGTTAGCCTTCCTGAAGTTTCCCTCATTTGTATTCTTACAATTTAATCAGCTTTTCCAGTTGCAGGAAGACAAGTTGGTGATATTGTGACGTAATTTCTTCTTGGCTATGGCATAAATGCTCTTGTAATTAATTACACACTGTTATACTTCTTCCTCACTTTCCTGATTTAAACTTATAATTTGATTTATGGTTTGCTAAATACGAATATATATTTTTTTAACGTTCTGCTATGACTAACTACGCGGAAATTCGATTACCACTTCGGAAACAGTATGGATGAGCAAAGCGAGAAAACAACACTACAAATAATGATTACAAAATGTTAACAGCTCATCAACCTCAAACAAGATTAATAATTTCAGTAATTGTTATACATTGGTTTTAGGAATCATTTATGGAATTAAAGTGTGATTATCAGGCATGTTTGTTGACCATAATATTAGTTAACTATAGATTCAAAAACGCTTACACTAACAGATATTACTTAACATAACAAAAATATGGGTAATTTATCATTTCTTTCCAGCAAGTAATTACGTAAACATAACTAATTATACATTCATCCCAAGTAACTGATCTTACCTATTCTTTAAAGACCACATAGTAGAAATAAACAAAATTAGAAAAATCGATGTTGGAAGATCACTTGTTCCTTACTTACGCCTGTTACCACTCATAGAGGAGCATAGGCCACCCACCAACATTATCCATCCAACCCTGTCATCGATAATCCCTTCCAGTTCTTTACGCTTGCTATTCATTCCTTTGATGTCTACATACAATCTCCAGTGCAGTGTGTTTCTTCATCTTCTTTCCCCCTTACATTCATGATTCCAAGTTAGCACTTGCATCGTGATGCAGTCTGGTGAGTTCCGTATTGTATGTCCTATCCACCTCCACCATCTCCCATCTAAATTCCTCTTCAACTGGCAGCTGGTATGTTCTCTCCTACAATAGGCTGTTCTCGATGGTATTCAATCAACGGACATTGAGTATCCTGTGTAAACAATTGTTTAGAAATACTTGTACATTTTTGATGACGGTTGTAGTAGTTCTCCGAGTTTCAGTTCCGAGTAGTAGAACTATCTTGACGTTCGTTTTGAAGATTGTGACTTTGATGTTGATTGACAGTTGTTTTGAACTGCATGTGTTGTTCAGTTGTGGGAACGCTGTCCTTACTATGCCAATGCTTGCCTTTATTTCTGCATTGAATCATCCTTGTTCATTGATGATGCTTCTATCCAGGTATGTGAAGGTCTCTTCTTCTCCAGGAGTTTCTTCATCAGATGTGATTGGGTTGGAGTTTTCCTTGTTGTATTAGAGGATGTTGCTTTTTTCTTTGTATATGTTGAGGCTTACTGATGAAGAGGCTGTTGCGACAATTGTTTTTTTGGCCTGTATTTGTTGGTGTGTATGTGATAGGAAGGCTAGTTCATCTGTGAAATCCAAATCGTCTAGTAACATGCAAACTGTTCACTAGAATCAATATTACAACTATTTATATTAGTTTGATAAAATGAAATGAAGGGTAAGTCACTTTTTTAGCACAACAAACTAGATACCTTATGAAATTTAAATCAAATGTAATATAACTAGTTTGTTTGTCTAATTTTAAAAGAATGATAAAACATTTTCACACGATCTTTACCATAAAATATGAGTTCCTTTTGAAAATTACTGAGATATTTACATAATTATAGTCCGTTCAAGAATATTTCATCCAAACTACAAAACAATAAACTTTAAATTATGCAAATGAAGTTTTTTCATTGTCTACCGTGAATATTATTTCCAGCAAACTAAACTATTTTACTGGAAATTTATAATTTTCTTTCCGTAATTTTTTTGTCACCCAAATTAACCTTATATTCTAGAAATCTATACAAAAAAAATCTAAGTCACTAGTTTTCAGGTAACATCTTTATTTGATAGATTTTCATGTTAGTTATTAACCTGAATAGAAGAATAGTAAAAAATAACTTTTATTGTACAAGCTATGTAATAATCAAATGTTTCTGTTCGTCGCATCTTCAGAAACGTAGAAATATTCTTTCTAATTACTTTATCAACGGTTGTAAAAATAGAAAAATCACCAATTAAATAGTGAATCCTGAAATTTCTTCTTGATTTATGTATAATAGTATATACCATCTTCTTTATAACAACTACAATGATTGAGATTCAGTTTCTAAGGAAAATCTGATGAGAGAAGTTTTGCGCTGGAAATAAAGTCATTTCCAAAGGTATGTTCACTTACGTAAACATGTATTACAGGGCAAAAACGTATTTGTAACAATAAAAATATTTTATCAAATCGAATATGTTTGAGCTGAATAATTTCTGTATTCAGCTTTCATTATGATATATGGCGTGAACAATAAATTCATTTGTTTGAGAACTTTCTGAACTATTCAATAAGTCGAATTATTATTTGATAGTGGATTCAAATGTAACCAGTGATCGGAAGCCTTTGTTGGAGAGATCCAGAAAACTCAAAAAAGCCAGGGAAAGCTCTGAAAACGCTGAGAAACATCTTATCTAATCAGCATTCAATAGAAGTTTTGCCAGGAACATCTAGAAAGTCAAAAGTAACATGTTGCATTTCTGAATGGATGGTTACATAAACTGCTACAATGTTTAGTAGCGTTCCAGAGTTTTGCAGGAGCCAAAGGCTAACTAAAATGCTATAAGCACTCTAGGTTTTCTGTACATAAATGAACTTTGGAGTAAAGCGTTTCTTCCATATTTCGCGCATTTTCTTTCGTGTTCAAGTCGCTGTGTAGATTTAGCTTGAGGTTATCGGAAGAGCTTAGGGACCGAATCTAGCGTTCATTTAGAAGATTTATCAGCCTTGCGTTTTTTTATATGCCGCAGGTTTGGGATTGACTGTTTCGCTATATTAACTACCGACCTTATAATTGAATGTTTCATTGACTTGATGGAAAACCTCATGGTTTGAACATTCATAGACTGATTTTAGGATATTAATTTGACTTTGCTAATATCTTTTGAGTAAATCTCTTAAATTACTATTTTACTTCGCAGACAGACAGAAATATTCCTTCAGATTTCAGTGCTAAATATTTTTGGATATTACTGAGTAATGACTAGGGACATTCGTATCCCGTAATATTTCTGTTGCTAGACTTGTGTGAAATGGCTTCTAGTACAAACCATCCTGTTGATCATTTTGTCATGAAAACAATTATGTTCTCCGCATAATCAGCTCGAAACTCTCATCTATTTCTGCGACAGTAACCTTCTGTCTTCTAGAACTATTTCCAGTAATTTCAAGTCCGGTAATAAGCATTTGTTTATCTCTATCTGAATACATGCTTTCGAATGCTTTGTTAAAAATGTCAGTGCTCACTGCTTCATAGTATGCTTTATGACATATCAACCGTTGCTTACTAGCTGAGACATCTAAGTATATAAGTATTTCGTTATTGTTTAATTCCAAACTTCCGTTGATCTCCGAAAAGTTTACCGGAAAAATGATAGGACAATGGTTTGATTTTTAAAAGCGAACAGGTTGCTAGGTTAATTCAAGTAAAATTTTCGAATTTTAAAAGAATATCTGGCTATATGTTTGTAGTCGAACATGAAAAACAATGACAATCTAGTCCACCATACATCATTTCATACCAATATGACATTATCATATGTCTCTTATTGACAACGGTACTTAAAGTTGAATCGGTTCTCTAACTTTCCATTAAAATCTGTCCGTTGTTTTAGTAATAAATAATTTCTTCGGAACCTACTTTCAGAACTTTACGGAGAAATTGTATTTATTAATCTTTAATATTTAAAACAATTAGTCCCTCTGATAAATTTCGATAATGCAATGAGAAGACATAATTCTGATAAACTTCGTCTTCTCATTGCATTATCGAAATCTTTAATATGATGCGTTCTTTGTCATTTTGAAACAAAGACGACTGTTCTTTTGGTTTCCAATATTTCAAAGCTTCATTTTACTTAATGAATAAATAATGTTCAATTTCTATGTTCAGTCAAAGCCATGATATATTGATTGATTTTTTCGAGCTTTCTCACTTTTGCCTGGTACCTTCAGAAGTGGTTTTTTAAGACAACAAAATAAATGATTGTTATTGCTCCTCTTTGGACAGTCGATTTCTTCAAATCGTTATGTTGCATGTACATGTAGTCACCTGAAACATATATATATATATATATATATATATATATATATATATATATATATATATATATATATATATATATATATATATATATTACTGCAAAAACAATTTTGTCTTAAGTCAAGTTAAGCCCAATAAAGTTTGAAGATTGATATGTTACAACTTTCAACCTGATTCCAAAGGTTGTGTGAACAAATACACCACATATATCCACCTTTTATGGTGCATTTTAAATGTAAAGTACCTCCTTTTCAAGAACATATGAATCAAAGCACTTCTTATATATCTTACTAATGAATTAATTCAAAGATTTTTACTGCTCATCAATTTATTTGTGTACTGATGATGACAGTTA